AAATAGGGACTGAACTGCATCACTTTGTTCCGTTTTTGCACGTTTGCGACGTTCGTTTTGTTCCTCGAGCACTTTGGCAGTCAATATAGCTGTTCCAGCGTTCTTGATACCCACTGGCGCGGGAGTTGAGGATGGAGTAGGTGTTTTGCTGTCGTTCTTAACCTTTCCATTTGTCGCGGACTCGGCTTTGGAACCATTCTCAACATAACCATTCATATCGGTGCGGTTCTTCTTTCGTTTCTTGCTCGAGCCAGGAAGCTTCTTTAATGAATGGGCAAGGCCTTGACGGGATAAGCCCTCCACTCGTGACTTTAGCCACTCTTTCTCTGATTCCTGGGTTGGGAGAATTGGAATAACATTAGAAGGTTCGTACGGCTCATTACACTGCTCATATATTGATTAGTAAGAGTCAATAGGTACCGTAGGATAAGGTTGCACCCACTTGTAAGCACTTATCCGACTTCATTTCACGAATGGCTCCCTCAGAGAAGACATGTCCACAAGGGACAAGATACACTGACTTCACACTTGGGCCAAGCTCTTTTTGAGTGACAGGGCAGATCCAGCGACCTTTACGCCCTCCGTTCGGTACATCGGGGTTCCCATCAACGTCAAATTTAAGCTCAACAATGTCACGTAGCGATTTCACTCTTCCTTGCAGCACTTCGTCACAGTCGGCCTTTGCGCTTATTGCCTCGCTATCGTCACCAGGAAGAAGATATTGCAATATTGCGTCTTTGTTGTAGAGATTGCCAACAGCGTCTGACACCACAGGTGAGAGTAGTTTCTTATGAGATATAGGGCATGTAGTCCAGAAGTGTTCGAGGTGTTCACGAAGTGCCTCCTTCAGCTGGGTGGTATTTGGGTTCCGCGCAGCTTCTTTCACCAGCTCGCGGCGAGTAGGAATGCTGTAGGGCATAAAAGTTAGACAGGCACTCTTCAAACTGTGTACAGGCATTTCTTACCTTCCACCATCATTACCCATCTTGACAGGTATTCGACTGTAGTCCGCAGGTTCGTTCAAAGGGTTGACGTTCTAATCTACAAAGGTAAGTTTTCCTCATCTTATCTTAAAGGTTTTGGACCCCCGAGGTCGCCGCTAAGCCACGTGACGGTCTCGAGCTCCGTGGTGGAGGAAGCTTCAGACATGCCAACTTGTCCGCTATATCAAACTCCCTCGAGGTTCATTCTTTCAACAACCCGCCCTGGCGGCATTCTCAATAACTCCTTGTTGAGCGAAGTCTCGTAGGTTGCTTATCTGTACTTCAGACGTGGCCCAATGCGCTCACCATGAACCGAGGCTCTCTTTTGCTCTTGTTTACAGCGGTCATGGGTCCTACGCTATGTGCAGCCGCAAGTGACAAAGGACCCCGTCCAAGGGGAGTAGGACCTGAATGTAACTACCACTGTTCCCCGTTTCCCTTCATGACGTTTTCATAGTTAACGTAATTGGGCTAACTGGACGTTTCTACACCATTTAGTTGCCAAGTTCTACAAGGACGCCAACAGCTTTAGCTGTATTTCTAACCCCTCAATCAAGATACCATTTTCCGCCATCAATGACGAATACTGTGACTGTCCAGACGGTAGTGATGAACCTGGAACTTCAGCATGCTCGTTTATATCTCCTTACTCGTCAACATACTCTTCGAACCCCGGGAACGATAAGACGAACAACAAGCTATCACTCCCTGGATTCTACTGCAAGAATAAGGGACACATGCCTCTATACCTCAGCTTTCAGCGAGTAAACGATGGAGTGTGTGATTACGATATTTGCTGTGACGGGAGCGATGAGTGGGCCCACGTTGGTGGACTAAAGTGTGAGGATAGATGCAAAGAGATTGGGAAGCAATGGAAGAAGACCGAGGAAGAAAAGGAAAAGTCATACTCTGCAGCCTTACGCAAACGCAAGGAACTCGCGGCGCAGGCGTCCAAGACGGAAAATGAAATGCAGGACCGCATTTTGGCTCTTGAGAAGGAAGCTCAAGACCTTGAAGCTTCCCTTGCGGACCTCGAAGCACAGCTGGAAACAGCCAGAGCAAGGAATAGAGGGAAGACAGCCAGTGGCCAGAAGCAAGGAAAGGCTTATGAACTGGCACAGCTTGCAAAGGCGAGGACCGACACCCTTCGCACCGTACTAGAGGAGGTGCATCTGCAGAGAGACCAGGTGGTAAATCTCCTGCGGGAAGCCGAGGGAATTCTGTCCAAGTTTAAGGAAGAGTATAACCCTAATTTTAATGACGAGGGTGTCAAACGTGCTGTTCGTAGCTGGGAAGACTACGTTGCCCGAAAGGGAGAACATGGCAGTGACTCATTTGGAGATGATGCCCTGTTCGATGCGCTCAAACATGAACATGATGAGCCGTTCAGCAACCCTGAGCAGTGGGCAGAAGAAGCTGAACCTGGATTAGGTAAGTCCATATATCCCAGGCCACTAGGCTCCCATCGGTGAGGGGGCGGGGAGGAAGCAAGAGGTTTCTGACAGTGTTGTGGTATTATAGTGCACAAGCTGGCATCTTTCTTGCCTGCCGGCATTGCAAATGCCATTGAAGATGGTCTTGCTAGTTTCCGGTCCGCGTTAGTCTCGAATGGTCTACTCGCGGACAGCTCACTAGATGACGGTTCAGATGAGCCGCAAGAAGTGAGAGATGCTAAGGACAAAGTAAACGGTGCGGAGGTTTCTCTCAACTTGAAGAAATCTGAGATCCAGGATCTCAAGCGCGACCTCAAGGAAGATTTTGGAGTTGATTCCGTCTTTAGAGCACTCAAGGGGGAATGCGTTTCTCAAGATTCAGGGGAGTACACTTACGAACTCTGCTGGATGGAGCAGACCAAGCAGAAATCCAGGAAGGGACGCGCCGACACCACTATGGGAAGATTCGAGAAGATCTCGTCTATTGTTGTGGATGAGCCTACTCCGTCCGGCCAGATTGTTCAGAAGACCAAAGTTACTCTTTTGTATACCAATGGCCAGACATGCTGGAACGGACCTGCGCGCTCGACAACGGTGATTCTGGAGTGCGGCGAGAACAACGAACTCACCAAAATTACAGAGGATGAGAAGTGTGTATATTCGATGTTCGCCACCACGCCGGCTGCTTGTGAGTCTCCTGTAGCTGGCAAGGACAGCCAGGAGAACAGTGGAAAGGATGAGCTATGATCGACCATTCCCCGCCATGTCTATCAGGGACTCAATGGCCCATGTCTGACTAAATATTTCAAATCACTGGATTTAGAGACTGTTACCGTTCATTACTAGAGACTAGAAAATTACATGCATGCGGTTTGCATCAGGTTGAATGCAAAGCCTAGCGTTACACACGGACGGTCGACTACATTGCTTATTTCAACGTCCTCCGCAGAACTAGTAGGGGATAAAACAAAAAAAAAAAAAAAGAAGCTTTGCAGGCCTGCGTATGGTGACTTGATTCTCTGGCTGTAGTAACTGTGTAAAGGCTTGTCTAAACCAAGTCATTTGAGGGGATACATGGAAATGAGTGTAATATATTGACTGGCTGGCTTGGAAGCCAGCAAGGGTGAAAGAGAAAAAAGAACAGAAGATTCCAAGGTCGAATGCCGTTTCTCAGAAAGTCGTTTGGTCCGTTCCCCGTGGTCTTCCAATGTCCCGCTCGTCGTATCGTCTTCGGTCAAAGCTGGGTACGTCTTGTCACTGCAGATTGGTCTTCGGATGAAAACGTAGGCTGCAATATTGTGGAAGAAATTAATTGATGGGTAGGGATGACAGTCATAGGTCATTTAGTGCTGAAGTTTATCAATCAGCATTTGTATACCATTTTTGAATGGCGGCTGTTATATGCAGCCGCCTCTGATTGAAACCTGCTGTATATCCGCGTGGCTCAAGGCAAAGGGGTAACACTCACGGAGCAGCTGGAGCAGGAGCAGCTGGAGCACTCTCCTGGGCAGCAGTTGCAAGAGCATGGGGCCATTTTGGTAGATTGGGGGGTGACTTGGGTTAACAAGTTAAAAAGTGTTGGAATGTTGGAATAAGTTGCTTTGGATTTGTAGATCTGGTTCTCTGTGATGGAGAAGAGAGAGAGAGAGAGAGAGAGAGAGAGAAAAGATAGCAAAGATGGAGGGCGAGGAGGCCCCTTTTATGCTTGAACTAGAGTGCGAGTAATTTTGATATCCGCCTCCCTGAGCTGACAACCCCTCACCAAAAAGGGAACATACATCCACCCGGGGAAGGAGACGAGGCGTATGTGGAGAGCAAGAGACTCGGAACCGAATCAGAAAGCCCGACGATGTACTGCCGTTCCTTGAAATGCGACTGGTACACACTAAACTACTCTCCCAGTGCAATCGGGTGTGCCATGAGACGCCATAACGGCAAGGGTACTCCGTCTATCCTGTGCAAATTATTAAAGAAGAAAAGAAAAGCAAAAAGGCACGAAAAAGTATTATGCATGTCCATGTCCATCTATGCAACCCCCTCCAAGGGCGCTATGTTCTGTGTACCGAGGAATAGCCTCGAAGCATCTGCTGCAATCCCTTGTTCTTGTGCTGTACGCCTTGGAATGCATGCAGTGCGGATTAGGTAGTTTATCCGGCATATCAAACATCCCAAACACCCAAAAACAACCCATCCCCCCGTAGTTAGTTACGCTTGCCCACTGCCAACTACGAGGGGAGTTATGGGGTCAGATGTCTGTTGTACTCTGCGTACGACGTGGAATCTGCACTATGACATCGACAGGACAGGCTTCCCGGCTGCCCGCAGGTGGAGCTTGGTGAGATACCTCGTTAGCGCGCGATTTATGCCAGGGAGGCAAGCGTATTCCTGCTCGCTTCGGGGTCGAGGCTGTGAACGGAGGGGAGCTGATCGGGATGGAGTCACAAGGAGACCGCGCCAGAGAGTCGTAGTAAGTAGTAGCAGCAGTAGGCGGGGGCATCAAGTTGACCAAAGAAAAAAGCAAGAGTTACACTTGCGCTGCAACTAACTGAGCTAACTTAATGCACGGCTGCTGGAGAAGCAGTCATCGAGTGTTCGAGAGGAAGAAGCAAAGAAGAAACGAAGAAAAGAAAAGAAACGTCTGCCAACGCCTTCCATCGCTCGAGGCAAAATGAGAGACCTGCCTGGCAAGATGGCCGTGTGACTTGAGTTATGCGTGTTCATCTGCTGTGCCGAGTATAGCGGTGGATGGAGGGACGTCCAGCCGTCTTCCTTGACCTCCTTGGGATGGGATGAGATGGGTTAACCAGCTGTACAGGACAGACAGCATCGTACCAGTTGGTGTAAGGATCCCGGCACTCATTGGCTCGAAATGGTGGCCACTGCCATCCGGCTCCAATCCCCCGAGGCCTTGCGAAGTATGGAGTGGCATCGTATAGGTGCGTGTAAGCATAGTTTTAATGGAGTTGTTGTATGGAGTACGGAGTAAGAGGATCGAGATGACATGTTTGGGACCAAGTCCGTCGAACGTCTCCAATGACAGCCCCGAAGGCGACGACTTGACTAGCTCGCCAGCCAGCGTTGAGGCCAGGCGGATGCTGCAGTTTAGTCCTATCTACTAGTTAGTATACGGAGCTCAAGTTCGCCTGACACATGTATTATTAACAATCTAGACATGGAGAACGGGTGGCATATCATAAAACGGCTGCTCGCTGGCTGGTCCAGCATTTCTTTTTTCTTTTTCTTTTCTTTTTTTTTTTTTTTTCCGTTTTTAAATCTACATCTGGTTTCTTCAGGCGCCATCTTTTCGATCTAAAAAGCTGGGGAAAGGCAGTGTGAGCTCCGTACGAGCTTCTACTCAAGCCAGAGACGGCACAGACTCCGTTTCTTCTACTTTCCCGTCTACATTTTTTCGAATCCCGAGGAAAAATACAGAGCAGACGGAGAGAAAGGCGAGCTGAAGAGAGAGAGGGAAAAGAAAAAAACACCGAAGAGAAACAGCAATGTTTTATTATTGCATCCTGCCTAAGCGAAACACGAGTCCTATCAATAAACAGCTGATGTTGGTTCCCATTGCCACGCTCCCGAGGACAGTAAAAACGTTCAAAGTCTAGAGAGGTCCGGTTGATAAGTCTAGGTCGTCCGTCGATGAGGATATCTTGTCTCCAGGCTCAAGGGGAGGCCTCATCTCTGTGCTTGACACCGGCAAGAAAGCCATTTAGCTCTATAGAAAGAGGTCAGCAATCTTCCACCACTGTCAATCACATCGACAGCAGGCAAAAGAAGACGGCAGACTTACGCAGTTGCACGCGCCAGGAGGGCAGGTACAAGCAGAGCCACAGCTGCATCCACAGTCACCTAGAGACGGCAAGTCTCGTTAGCCAGATACGTTCTTCTCCAATAGTAGGCAGGTCAGGCATTATGGCGGAGACGACCACGACTCACCCATCTTGATTGTAGAGAGTGCGAGTAGCTAAACGAGGTGTCTGGTTATTTGTTTTGAGAGGCGTATTCCGTCGTTAAGTCGTTAAGTCGTTAAGCAATGGTTATTCGGTGTTTGTTCGCTTTGAAAAGAAAAGTAGAGGCGCAACTGAGACGGGAGATCTCGGCCTCCTATATATATACGCCTCTCGCCTCGCTGGAACAAGGGAGATTGGGCGAGAGGGAGGGCTGGCAGCGGGGTAACCAAGTAGTTAGTTAGATTAGTTATTAGATTATCAGACAGACTGACAGTACGGAGTATTCAGTGTTTTTTGCCTTCCTTCGCCTCCCCCGTCCACTGCGATCCCTGCCAGTCCGCAGTCTCCAGGCTGCAGGTAACCAAGTTACGTCAGGAGGGAGTAGTTAGCTGAGTGGACGGTGGGCAGTCCGGACGCCTCACTCTCTGGGTCCGTCGGCTGGCCTATCATCAGTATTATTATTCTTGAGGAAGGCAAACGAGATGCTGAACAATTTACGGAGTATCTCCTGCAGGATTGTGTCCAAGATCCCCGGTATCTTGGTATGCGGTCCCATCGTGAGAAGGACGTAACCAGCGTCTTTCCGGTGGATTCTCCAGAGAGCAGAATACCCTTGGACACGGAGAAGATGACGAAGCTGCAGAGATTGGAGTGGCTGGCCATGACCCAGGCATATCTACAGTTGATCTTACGTTGATATGCACGGCTTGCTTAGGGGTGCTCTCTTTTGAACGGTAGTTATGGAACTTTCAGCTGGGTCAAACAACGTCAGTGAATCGCGGTCAAAGAGCCACTCGTCGTCTCGAGCATCCGGGAATATCTATATCAACCATGTGTCTGCTCCCTATCACTACTTAATGGAGACTTTTGCATTCAATCTGACGTGCAAATTGGCGATGCGCCGCTCTAACTACCGACTCATTACTATGGGGTCTAATCAACTAGTATCAACTACTTGAATATGCGACTCTATCCTTGGAAGAAACCTCGACTCTACTGTTGCAGTAGAAGCGGGCCTGTCAAGATGGGTTGGAGAGTACTAGGTACGTACTCCGTCACTGCTCTCTCATGACTTTGTGTTTATACTTAAGCAAGGTCTGCTAGTCCACCCAAGGCGTGCGTGGGCGGCTGTTCCAACCGTGTAAAGCTCTAAACGCCGAATGTCACCTTCAAATCCATCATTTGACTTCTCGAGGGATTATTGCGAATGGTTCAGATCTCGTTCATCTCAGAATCAACTGGCGGGGGGCCAAGGACACGCAGCAAACAGCCTATCCGGAGCCAGTCGTCCCGTTTTTTTGATACCCACATTGCCCTGCACATGGGGCGCAATTATAATAGCATGACGATATGCAGGATGAGTCAGAGACTTAAGCAGCCCGATATAGACATGGTTCTCCTTCTTCCGACTGGACTTAGGCCTCTTCTTCTTTTTCGTGGGCTCCACGGTCATCTGTACGCAAACCGTGCGGAGATCGCCATCGAACTTCTATGGAAGCTTTACTTTCTTCCATCCACCCCAAGCGGGAACCGGTTGCTGCCCAATAGGCTGCAGCTCTGTGTCAGCGCCTTACTAAATATCCAGTCGGCCTGTCCGAGTATCAGGCCCTCTCCTTTCTTTGTTGTTTCTTGTCGAAAGTCTAGTTTTCTGGTTATGAAGTGTCTCTGTTGGAGGTTAGCTTTCAGTCGAGAGACATGGTGTAACAGCCCACCCAGGAATGGACATGTCAGTATCCTCTGGACGCTGTATCTGCTCTTCGACAGTGAATACCTATAGTCACTCTAGCAATAATTATTCACTCTTCTTGAGCCGAGTCTAGATGAACGTCGACGGTAAACAGCTATCCTACTTGGTAGGCAGTCACTGTCACATCAACTCCGTCCTCTATTCACTGTCCTAGTCTCTCAGCCGTATTCACTGTCTACTACCGTCAAGTAACTAAAGCCAGCATCTTCCATCAACTTGTGAAGTCCATCTTTCGCTTTCTTCATCTTCATCGTCTTCTTCTAAAACGTCGAAAAGTCGAAACTGCCGCAACTTACCGCCTTCCAACAACCAACCAAAAAATTCACAAAAAAAGTGAAAAAAAAAAAAAAAAAGAAAGAAAAAAGGTAAAAAAAAAAAGAAAAAGAAAAAGAAAAGAACATCCGCAAAACCATCTTTTCGCTACAGACACCGCGTAGGGTGAAAGAAACAGGCCCAGGTCGAGTTTCGGCGGAGCGAGCACTCGAGCATGCCGCAGCCATACGTCTTCCGCGGGAACGATGGCGAAGGAGGCCGCCGGGAGGGAGGACGCAGTGGCCGTGATCGAGACCACCGGCGCGATGGCCGTCGTCGCGGCGGACGTCCTCACCATGAATTCACATTCCGGGCAACGCCCTCGTCGCGGCCGCTGCTGATGGCCAAGAGAGAGACGACGCCTGATTTCATGGGCGGTCCGGACAGCGACGCGCCTGCGAAGAAGTTCATGGCCCCCGAAGACCTGACGGATAGCGACGAGACGGAGATGGACGTGTCTACTACTACTGTAGACGAACAGGAGAACGACGACGGCACCGCGCAGCCCCCACGCAAGAAACGGGCCATCGAACGCGACTCCGGGGCTGCTGCGCCGCCTGCACCGAAGTGGTCCAACCCAGATCCTTACACTGTTCTGCCGCCAGAAGAAGAAAGGCAAGGGAAGAGACGAGACTTTGTCAAGCTGATCCGCAAGGCCAGAATCACCCCTGCTGTCACATCGACTCCGGAGGTTAGCAGCAACCCTGCAGTGACGAATGATGACTTTATCTCCCTGGGTGTGGATGAGCCGGATGATATGCCCCCTGAAGGTGCCCCCAGTGGCCCCAGGGCTGCAGAGCTGGAGCGGAGTGATTCTGCGCTTGGGAACCGCAAGAGGAATCGAGACGATGAGATTACAGGGCCTGCTGTCAGGCGTGGGAAGAAAGGGTCCAAATTCTTCAACCTGGATGGGTCACCACTGGATATTTGGAAACCGCTGGATGGCCAGGATCCAACACCTTGGTTCGACCGGTCCGGCGCAGCTTTCCATATAGGTACCATGTCAGTACTGGAGCTCCCACATTATTCTTTCTACTCTTGTCTCTATGGTGACGATGCTGATGTTGTCTAGGCTACACAAGGAGATATTGGACTTCTACCACTGGGTAAAACCTACAGAGTACGAAGACATTGTCAGACGAGATCTTATATCCAGACTTCAGGCATGCTTTGGGCAAAGGTTCTATGGTGCAAAACTATACGCCTTTGGATCATTTGCATCAGGTCTCTATCTCCCTACAGCAGATATGGATCTTGTTCTTCTCTCTCGCCAGTTCATGTCCTCAAATAGAAAGTACATCTGTCAGAAAGTTCGGGAAATATACAGCTTTGCTGAATATATCCGCGGACAGGGAATTGCCGTGCCAAGATCAATTGAAACAATTGCCCATGCGCGTGTACCCATCATCAAGTTCGTGGATGCTCTCACTGGTCTGAAAGTAGATCTCTCCTTCGATAATAGCAGTGGCCTGACAGCCATTGATACATTTAAAGCTTGGAAGCAAGAATATCCCGCTATGCCCGTCATAGCTTCTATCATCAAACATTTCCTTTTGATTCGAGGCCTCAACGACGTGGCCACTGGTGGGTTGGGTGGTTTCTCAATCATATGTTTGGTCACAAGCATACTACAGCATTCACCCCGTGGAGTTGGAGAGTCAAACCTGGGCTCTGTTCTCATTGACTTCTTTGAAATGTATGGCTCTAGGTTCGATCCTGCCGCCGTGGGCATACAGTTTGATCCCCCAGGTTATTTCAACAAGGTACACCACCCCCATCTTTTCTCCCCCTAAATTTGTCTGTCCTACCGGGTTATTAATTCTATCGAAAACCAGGCTGCGCGTGGCATATATAACGCAAACAAAGGGACTAGGCTGTCAATAATTGACCCCAATAACCCAGATAATGACATCTCGGGCGGAACTAAAGAGATTCCACTTATCTTCCTAACATTCTATGATGCATACCAATCGCTCAAGGAGGGCTTATATGCCGCTTCATGCCGACCATGTCACTCCCCAAGCAGTTTGCTTGGAACAATAATAGGCGGAAACTATGATGCATATGAGGAGCAGAGAAAGCATCTGCGTGATTTTTTCCTTAATGAACATAGGTTTGCTGGCTATCGTGCCACTGTCGGGTTGGGCAGTCCCCCACCGCCTCCTCCTCTGTCCTCTCCTTCTCCTCCACCCCCTCCGCCACATACTGGATAGGCCTAGCATCTACGTACATTCCCTGGTTATGGGAGTATCGAACCAGCTTTTCTTCTTATCCTTGATATCCAAACATTGGCCTTCTTAAGTCAGCACACACGGTTTTACTCAGCTATTTCCTTTCACACTCCTCGTGTTGCAAGATTCAATCTTGCGAGAACTAACCGGCAACGAATTACGTTGAATTAGTCGGTGTTACCCAAGAGCATCATTCTTCCGCATCTTCGGTGTACCATTATTCCTTTTTATTGCCATTGTCATTCTCATTGGGGGCTTGCTAAAACGGAGGATAGGGAGTTTATTTCCCGGAACGGAGTGCGGCAAGTGTCTATGGCAACTGATTCTAATCACTCTATATAAATTATGTACAATATGATTAAACGAATAACTCTTCACCACTGCAGCGGTGGGAAAGAAGGCTGGCTCCAACAAGCAAATCCAGGACAACAACATACGTGTAGATCACAAGGTAGTCCAAGTAAGCTCAGTCCCGAGCGAGAGTTTCAATCTTCAACTGGTGGTGGGTGTTCTGGTATCGGGGTGTTGACATAGTCAGCGTCGGGACTCGCCCATGCAAAATCAACCCACTTGGCTCCCAGGATATCCCGGATGCCCTTTGTTAGGGTTTGAATCCGCTGGCTCTCCGGAAGTTTCTGGTCCTTGTCCAACACAACGTGTCCTTTCCTGCACTGTGGATTGATACTCTCGGATGGGAGCGCGTCCAGAATCACTTTCCAGACCCGCATTGTCTCCTCCAGCTCAGCGATATTGCTTACCCCCATCACGCTGCCTCCAAGCCTGCGAGGACTCGTGGTACTACTGACACTGGTACCATTCGTCTGGTCAGTAGCAGACAGTCCCGATGCACCAACTGCAGCACCCACATGCAGCCAATTCTCAAGTGCATATCGAATGGCAACAACCTCGATCTTCTCGCCTTGTTCTTCGGTCCAAAGACTCGCTTTGTGAATTGCCTCACGTAGCTCGTTGGGCGCAGGATGAAAATCTCCCATGCTCCCGATAGGCACACCGTTGCGTCTCAGCAGCCCCATCCCCAAGGGTGAGGCATTAAGTACGCAATCCACACCAGCTGCAATCAGACGTTCAAGCCCCTTCGTTGCCAAGAGGGTGTTCTGCAGTGTGAAATTCGCGTAGGACATGACGATATCTATCGGTTCACCTGTCTTTTCAAGAATCATCTCAGCCAGAGAACAGAGCACGTCGACCGGGTAGCCCGATATCCCAACGTAATGTATTGTCCCCTCCGAGTCACGGATTCTTCGTAGCTCTTGGACAGCACCCAGCACTTCCTCTGGTGTAACGAACTCGACGTCATGGCAGTAGACGACGTCTAAGTATGCAGTGCCTAGGCGTGAAAGGCTTCGTTTAATACTGCGTCTGATCCATTCTGGGGAGTAATCGAATGTTGATGCTGCTATCCGGCCCACTTTGGTGAGCAACCTGTAGGAGCTCCTGGGATAATTCTCCTGGACAAACTGTGTGGATAGGGCTCTTCCAAGAAGTTCTTCTGCAGGGCCATAATAGGGAGAGGTATCAAAGGCGCAAATTCCAGCTAAGAGAGCTCGGTGGACAAGCTCGGTGGTCGGAAGCTCGTAGGGGTTGGCATTGTACTGGCCGTTGAAAGTGGCCGTTCCCATGATAAGGGGCGGCAGGTCGCTGGAGACTGGGAGATGAGGGACCCCCATGGTGTCTAAAATATGTCCTGTAATGGATATTCCACAGGTATATATGTATATATATGTTGCTTTATATAACCCGGTTCTTGGTCGGTCTTTACGGAAGTTGTATAGGAGGGTGGTGGGGTGATTGATAAGATGCTGATTAGATAGAGAAGAGGAAGGATATCACTACTCCCATGGTGTTTATATATGCGCCCAATAATGAATCATAATCATATATGCATCTCAAAGCCTTATCATGAAAGGATTTGGAATCAATAAAGCTTGCGGTTTCTTTGATCCCTACAAGTATCAAAATAGCCGGCGTGGCGGTAGAAAAAAAAAATTTCGAGCTTAACGCCGAGCTGGAAGTCTCGGCCCGCGGGTGACGTGACGATGAGAGTTCAACCCCAGCATATCAAAACGAACAGAAAGGCGGTTAAAGAACAGCAGATAAAGATAATGTATGTGATATTAGTTGATATTTAAGAGGCGAGCTCATACAAACCTGCTAGGCAGCATATTTCATGGCCAGTCAGGGTAAATTAAGTGACATAAATTACATATTCTATATTATCAAGAAGCAACCGTCCGTTTATCGAAGGTGAAAAAGGGAGCTCTACCCCAGTTGATGAAAAATATTTTACTCCTTCTTCTTGTCCTTCGCGGGGATGGGGTTGCCCTTCTCATCTACGAGCCCCTTTTCGCGCATGACCCGCAGCGCATCGTGGAGGGGATCAAGTTCGGGGCGTGGTGCTCGGTGGGAGTCAAAGTAGCTGTCTGCCCAAGTAAAGTACTGGCCGTAGTTGACGGTGAAGTAGAGATGGTGGAGGGTGTGGTGGGCGGGGCTGTTGATGTATTTTTCGAGCCAATGGCCAGATATCATGTCGCCGTCGTGGATGAAGATTGTCCAGATCTGTACCAGAATGAACATGGTCATATAGAGGTACTTTTGCACGGGGCAGACAAAAACGAAGACACTAAAGTAAAATTGTTAGAGAAACAGATAATAATTGGGCCTGGTTGGTTGGGCAATGGTGGTAACTTACTGGTATGGCAGCGACTGAACGTATCCGTCGAGAGGGTGGAAGGCGAGAGCAGCCCATGGAGTCGGCACTAGTCAACCAATGTTAGTCAAATCTACCCCGTGCACATCTACATCATGTAGGGAGCCATACTGATCCATTTGTGATGTGGTTTGTGGATGTATTTGTAGACGCTGGGGTGGTGCTCGAGTCTGTGAATCCAGTAGATCAAGAAGTCGTTCCAGATCATGAACAGCACAACCGAGATACCCATCCACGCCCATCCATAGTCGTCTACTCTAGTATACAAGAGGCTCTTTCCGCGCACTTCGGCCAGGAAAAAGGGGAGTGTGAAGATGTTGATCCAAGGTATGGCCATCATCGAAGACACTATCTCCTGTCGGACCTGGTTCTTGAGGAAGCGCGGATGGTATTCGAGCCGCCGGTCGAAGATGAAGTAGTATGAAAACGAGCTAAAGATCCAATATAGTAGCGAAGCACCGAGCTGTGTGATTACCAAGATCGAGATGCATTGTCGGAGGATGCTGTCTCGCGGCCATGCTGACACTGGCTGTGAGGATGCGGTGCCGTCGGCCGGGACGAAGTAGGCGTACGCTTTATCGAGGACCAGGGGATCCAGGAGATCGAGAGCCACATCCATGGTTAATCTGCGGTAGGATTGTTTGTAGACGGGTTGCTGTGACGTGTTTTGTGCCCTTTAAAGGCTCTTCAGAAGAATTTATTGTCGTATTCTAGGGGGCGGATCTGTGAGATTTTTTTTTTCTCTCTTTTCTTTTAACGAATTGTTTCTCTGCGCCGTGGCAACGCAATCAATTAAACCGATTTTGCTCGGGAAATGCAAAAGGAGTGTGATGCTGTCTGTTTCGAAAAGCCCGAGAAACGTAAGGAGCGTAATGGGTACACAGGGCGGGTGAGTTGCAGTGACAGGCCCGGACACAGCCAGGATGGCGGGTTTAAATGTTGTTGGCTGGCGCAAAGGAAGGCCGCCGGCTAGCTGGATACGCCGGATCACACCACCTTCAGCGTGTTATCGATTTCCCGCAGTTCTCCAACTGGTCCCTCGTATCCTTATTAATTCCACCGCAGGAGTACACTGATTCGAAGGGGATAACAAATTAGTCTATTGAGGATGTCAGGGATAGTTGCGGAGCGAAGCAGCTGGTACAATTTAATCGTAGCAAGTTGATATGCGGAATCGACTAGATCTTGACCTATACTAAGGCTTAGCCACATAGCCAGGTATGGGGAAAGCTGCAACTCAAGTATAATCAACCTTCATCTTTATCACCCTTGATATTTCCTTCCATTTTTATCCAAAATTATCTTCTTCTACGTGTTATCAACATTAGCGGACTAAATGAGCTATCCAGTCAAAACTCGTATTCAACTTGTCCGAGATAATTCCACTTAGCCAGTTATAATAAAGGCCCTTCTTATAATAAATACTTTACCATCGTACCTAAGTAGAGCTAAGAGGAAGTCTAAGTAAAAGAGGCCTCTAGAGCAGATAGCTCCGGAGGTGCGTGCAGAGGCTTCAGGGGTAAGAAAGAGGCTGGAAAGGGGAAGTGCCTTTGAGTAAAAAGGTGCTTAAGTAAGCCAATGAAAATGCATGGAAGGAAACTTAATAACTAAAGTTTTTGTTTTGTCCAATAGTAGCTCTTAATATTCAGAGTAATAAAATTTATCCAATTAGGACTGATGGTCTAGTTAGTCCGCTGTACAAAAAGCGGCGAAGGATGGCAGAACGTGTTACTCGCTTACATAATATCCAAACCTCGAAAAGGAAAAAAATCGAAAAAAAAAAAAAAAAGAACAAAAAACAACCAAAAGCTGCGACTTTTTGCTGTTGAGACCAGCTTTTCTATGCTGAAAGTCCCTATATTTCATTTGTCACGGTCGAATGTGGGCTGTGCTGTAGCATGAGGCTTGCTACGTCTGCTAATTCCTCGCGATTCCCGATCTTTCGATTTGCTTGACGAGAACCATAGGGAAGACGGACCGTCTGTGAAGCATCGAACATATCTGCTGCAAACGTCGAACAGTTAGCAATTACGTAGCAGACAAAAAGATGTCCCGGTCAGCGAGTGACGCAACTCGGTTCACTGCACCGGACCCTACGCTTACTCGAAATCCTCGATGTCTTCCCCCGCTTCGTCGTCGAAATGGTCTGGTCTGAAGGTCAGGTCCTCGCAGCCGTCACAACCATCTCCCGGCCAGGGAACACAAGAGACTCCCAGAGAGAAGGTTGAGCGGCTACGGGCCCAGGCTCGCGCCAATCGCATTGCACAGTCGTTTTCTCCAATGGATAAGATAGTAAATAGCGGAAGGACGTGGGCGGATCGTTTTCACAGGGGGGCGGTTTACTCGCTTATTGCTGCCTCTGGTATGGATAAGCTGATCTCTTGTCATTGTCCTCGCACTGGGGAAATGGCCTGCTTGATAGACTGATATACTGACCTGCTATGTGTATTCAGGAATCGCTGGAGTTTTGACCATTTATTCAATGGCATCGTTGATCTTGCACAACCGGCGGCAGCGGGAACTATTTATCGAAAAGGAATTGGAGAGTCTCTTAGATGCTAGAAAGGCATATGTTTCCGGAACTGCGACCGCACAACAGATCGAGCTGCTACGGAAAGAAAAGGCTGCGGACGAGGAGAAGCGGATGCGGGATGAAGCGAAGAAGCAGACCATGTTTTATAAGGCCCGGAGCTGGCTCTTCGATGGCCCAGATGCCATAACGACCACCAGCTCAGACACCGAACCACACACCCAGTCACAACAAATATCCGATCTAAACACAGCCCAGACAGCACCTGCTACGCCCGCCCTGCCTACAGAACCTCAAGGGGGCGAAACAGCCAACCCTAACTCCTCGAACTCGAGTTGGTCAAGTTGGATACGCTGGGGAGGGACCAGTAAATAAAGAGGCCTTCCTCCGGGTTTTCTTTCGCCATTGTCACCCTTTTCGACTTTATATTCCTCGGAACCCTAGTTGCTCCCTACCAGAGTATATCTTAAACATTCTCCTGTGTATAATAACGAAACCGTCTACTTTTTGTTTCCATTGCTCCACCCTGGGTCGGGTTTGGCAACGGTACACAAGCTGGCTGTACGATGTGCTAGAGTGTGAAATATTAATATTCTCTTCTTAGCCTACTATTGGACTCTTTCTGGTGCTTGGTTGCATTGCATGGACAGCATAGCTTTTGAATTGTTATTACTCTGGTTAAAACCGTGCTTTGATGCGCACATATTGCTAGGATGTTCTTACGGAAGATCAGCTTTAGTTGCAATTAATCTTGACATTCTACTTATTTCCAGGGCTCCTCTTGGTTACGCAGCTGGTGACTTCACTGCTACATATATCAGAATACTTGATATATTCTCCATACTCCATACATCACCCCATACAACCATACGAATCAGCTCGACAGCCCCATGACGGATGACCAGCTGCATAAAAACGGCTTCCACTTGATACGTACATCCCCGTCGATATATGAACACCAGACTTGACGTGGCAAGGCCTTTCAACTGCAGCCACGCCTATCATTGTGTCATGTCAACTCCCTAGCGTCCATAACTAAACTCCCGCCGTCTAACTAGCTAGCAGGCAACTTCGGCCCGGCCCGAGAAGAACTCAGTCTGGCTGCAGGCCAACTGGATGGTTAACTCGTCATCGAACGGGCGACTCCTGAGGCCAGCATCCCCTTCTGCTCGGTGTTGTCGATGTGCTGGACTCGCCTGCGCTGCGCCAGAGTCGATCGCCATGTTCACAACCAGCCATCCTGCGGCTGCGTCCCGGGACCGTGGAAAAGGGCCCAAAGGGTCGACCCGACGCTGTGGGCAGGGAAACGCTTAATAATTGGCTCGTCCACCGGCGAGAAAAGACCAAAGACAATTTCAAGATGCGCTCTTCATGCACTCGTCTGGACCCATCGGTTGGCCCCCTTGCAAAATGCAGAGAGACGGCTTGGGAGGCTGCGTGCTGCGAGCAACAAACCCGCATGATATGGCTCCTGGTGGCGTTGCTGTCCTTTGATGCACCTTGCGTCCTGCCGCTGCCGCCGCCGCTGCTGCTTGCGATGGTTCATATCAGACAGTTGTCTGTATGTGTGTCACTGAATAAAGAGGCAGATATAATAACACTGCCCGATCATCCTCGCTTGACTCCATATAACTTATTTCCCCCCTACTTCGCTTTCCTCTTCCCTGGTCTGCTTGCTCCTGAAGTTACTTTTTCCTTCCTTTTCCTGTCTCCTCTAGTTATTCTAGAAGAGAAAGCTTCATCTCGCTTATTTAGCAAGCTGTTCACCGTTATTTAAGCATCATTTTACATAACTTGAAATGGCGGCTGAGGCAGACGGTCGATCAGACGGATGCTCCCAGTCGACCATCGAGGCAGACGCCAATGCTGAACAAACGTCAACAGTCGCCACTGACTTCGCTTCAGTCGTTTCCACGATCCCAAACTTCGTCTATGAGAACGGACGGCGCTATCAAGGCTACTGTGTAGATCAATACGTGCGTTATTCCCATGTCAACTGGCGTTCCATACATGATGTCCCTGGCTGGATATAGTTACATGACTAGATCATCGCTGACTAGTCAAACGCTCTTATTGGGATACCTTCAGTTCCTCCCGAACGATGAAAGGGAACAGGAACGTCTAGATTTTCTTCACCAAATCTTCCGGTTAACCCTCGATGGCGAGCTGTGTTTTACCAAACTCGACAATCCTGAACGCATACTCGACATTGGCACAGGGACAGGGATATGGGCCATCGAAAGCAAGTCAAGTCCCGTCACCTTCATCTACCTGACCGGGTTGAATAAGGGGGTAGTCTATCAAGTCTAACCCTGAGTTCAGTGGCAGAGTTATACCCTTCAGCCCAGGTTATTGGGACGGATATATCTCCCATCCAACCGAGTTGGTGAGTTGAAGACGGAACCCCTTTAAATACCCTCCCGGCTTCCGGAGCATAAGGGCTGATGTCTATCCGCAGGCGACCCGACAATGTTGAATTCATGATGGACGATGCCGAGCAGGACTGGACTTTCCCCGAGTCCTCATTTGATTTCATCCACATCCGTACGCTTGGGGGAAGTGTATTAGACTGGCCACGGCTAATGGGGCAATGTTACAAGTAAGAAGAGTCACATCCGTCCAGCCTTTGTCAGTTCTAACTCGACTGCTTAGACGACTAAAACCTGGTGGCCGGATAGAAGTATCAGAAGCTCGTGCTCACTTTTGTTGTGATGATGATACATTCCCCGAAGATTCGAAGACTAGACATTGGCTTGTATGTCTTTTTCTTTGTCATTATATCCGTTGACCTTTTTAATTAACCTCTCTGATAGAACGAATTTGATCGCATCTCCCACTCCTGCGGGCGTGAATTTGATGTATTCCCATTTTTTGCCGGCTGGCTTCGAGATGGAGGGTTCATCGAAGTCGAGGAGATGGAAAAAGTCATGCCCCTGGGAACCTGGCCCAAGGACAAGAAGCTGAAGATGAGGGGCCGCTATTTCATGGCACAGTTCCTGGGCCATGCGATGGAGTCCTATAGCACGTCGCTGTTCACTCGCGTTGGCGGCTGGAGTGCCGATGACCTCTGGAAGCTCCTCAATAATGTGACTGAGGAGGTCAGGTCTAATAAGATGCATATATATTCCCACTTGTATGTTCATCTCCGTCTCCTAGCCCCTCATGAAGCGCTCGTTATATTAACCCGTCTTCTGTCTAGTTCATTTGCTATTGCAAAGAAACCAGAGCGAACTTGAATTTGTCTCGCATTCGTAGTCATTTGGAGTGGCTTCCTCATCATCTCGTTTATCTCCCCTATACCTCATTAACGACTCCATCTTCAGTGTAACCCTAACCACAATTACGACCCCTTTCTTTGGTTTTCATTCTTCATCAATTAGCGTATGGGGCTTGTCTTAGTGTATATTTAAAGGGGCGCCCATAAATGTTATTGATTTTGCTTTCAACGTCGCATCGTCAGCTTCTATAAAACACCGTTCTATAGCATACGTCTGCCCCTGCACCCATCTTTAGTTAGTAGCCCCCCTATCTTTTCCCCATATAGACTAAGCAATCCTATACCGATGAACGAACATATGACGCTACTTCATCCAGAGAGCCAACGACCATATCGGGACCCATCTTCTGGCACACGGCCTGATCTCCAAACCCGTACTGGCACCAGCACACGCGGCAGCCGATGTTCTTTGCAAACTGGATATCCGCCGCCGTATCCCCGATAACTAGCACTTTACCAACATCGAGGTCGGTAATCCCATACCGGCTCTTGAGCGTGGGTATCAGTATATCCGTAAAATTAGCCGGGTCAGGCTTCTTCTTTGCTCCAGGAGTGCTATCCCCTATTATCAAATCCTCGGGCACGTATCCCCCCATACCGTTCCGTTCCAGCGCCGTCTTCACAGCACCAACTCCCTTATTGCTAACAATGGACATCGGTATGCCGGATTCTTTGAGGGTTTGTAGCAGTTTCTGGGCTCCTGGGAAGGCTTTTATGAGTTTTTGGCCGTGAGTGGCATAAACCTCTCGATACTTGGCTGTCCATTCATCCGCTACTGCCGTGTAGGCTTCGATATTGGGATGTAGAGACCGGAATGTGTCTGACAGGCCTGTCCCACGGGAGATCAGAGAGTGGATGTCTGACCGAAGCGGGACATGGGCCGGAAGTAAAGCCTCGAAGGTGAGTTTGATAGATTGTTCAATCGACTCATGGGTGTCGACCAGCGTCCCGTCGAAGTCGAAGATTACCAGGCTGGTCATACTGTTTTAGGATGTACAGACAGTTATCTCTTTTGAGTTAACGGAGTGTGCCTTTCTTCCTTAATGATCAACAGACCGAGTTTGTGCGAGTTGGGGTGGTGGTGATTCGACACAGTTAGTAGTGGAATTGGCGGCGCCGAAGCGAAGAGGAAATAAAACTCCGGAGTTTGACTTGAAGCCCCTTGATCCCTGTCCTGGCCAGTTATGTATGCACCCAAGGCCAGTCATATTTGGTCGTCGTCATCAGCGTCAAAAAAAAAAAAAAAAAAAAAAAAAAAAAAAAAAAAAAAAAAAAAAAAAAAAAAATCATCCCCATCTCGAGTCAGTGAGACAGTCAAGATATTGGCATCAGGGCCTCAGACACAGCGATGAGAATAATTTCTTTCCCGTACAGCCGACAAAACTGGTTAAGGGGTTTGACGCAGAGATCGAATAGTTTCGACCGCTCGCCATGAGTTAGTTTTATCACGGAGTCACAGGGCGTCGTGTCTAACTAAAGACAACTCCCGGGCTTAAATTCGAGGGCTGATATCTACGATGATATCAAGCAAGAATAATTACATCCCTAAAAGGCCCGTAAACGTCACTTCACAGGCTGATTGACCGGTGACATGACCCAGAAAGGCATCTAAGTGCGTGCTCGACAAACACCCTCCATATCTAATTATCCTGCAGACCCTACGTTGACCAGGAATGCAGGAATGCAGGAATCCCGTAACCCCTAGAAAGGGAGAGGATAGACGTCAGTGAAGAACTATTCGGAGGAGCCGGGAGGGGAGTTGTTCATATATTTTTAGAAGAACAGGATGCATCCCCCCTCCAACACACACACATCAGGGAGAATGACAGCATGGGAAAGCGTCCGAATGTACTCCGTAGTTATATAAAGTAACTCCGTCTCGATCATCTTCGGGGACGGACTCTGCTAGTCGGCTCACTCCGGGAAAAATTTCGAGCTTCCTTGGATAGTATGAACGGCGATTATCATTTCGTCTTCCCTCGTCATTGGAGTTGCAGATCCAAACACATCACATATCATCAGACTCTCGTAACATAAAAACCGTATGGCTAATCCCGAGGCTTAGCGAGTGACAATCGCTGCTGTCAATGCTACCTCGAACATGACAGGCGCTGATGGTGTGCAGAGCGCATGGCCAACGAGCGTCTCTTGCGTGCAGGTCCGTCTGTTGATGCCGAACGAGTCGACGCCTCCTGTAGACAGCACCCCTGGCATGGCTGCTAGATATCTTCATGGACTACAATGGTCTCATGGTCTCAGCCTGGCTGGTCTAGAAATGCGGAGTGGCCTGGTCGATCGCCTTCATCCGCTCATATTAGCTGTGCCGTCCCATATCCAATCGAATTGGCCTCGTCTCCAGGATAGCGCATGGAAGAGACGGCCATTCTGAGCAAGAATCTGCGGTTCTCATCTCCCTCTGGAGAGCATCCCCGACCCCGTCAATGATAATGCCACCTCGCCGGCTCTCTTTCTCGCAGTGTCTTCCTTCAAGCGAGTCATCGACCGGCGTCTCATCATCTCGAAAAGAGTCGGCCGTTAACTAATTAGCTAACTTAACTCACGGAGTAGCTAAAAAGGAGAGAAGCGAACACTCGCCTCCACCCGGTCTGACCATGAACCAGACATCAAAGAATCTCTCGATAGAAGCTGGTTGGCGATGGTGATTGGGCCGTCGCCTGTCTGTCCCGTCCCTTCGCGACTCCAGAACAACGGGGAATTTGATAGGAGCTGATCAGCCACGTCTTGAAACAGCAGACGGACGTGCCTCGGGTCAACGCTGGTGTCGACTGGCCGTATCCCTGAAGAGACATCCCTGCTGGGCCAGGGAAGAAGAGCTGCCGCATGAGACCAACTCGGGCCTTTTGCTATGCGGGCTCTTTTCCTGCTCTTCTGTCGTGGTGATCAACCAAATTACAGCATCCATCGTGGAGAGACCGAGCAAATGCGGATGGAGAGCGACCTTATACCACACACACTCTTTATGCCTCTGACGATCCCAAGCGCATACCCCCGGGAGCCTTACACACACACACATTCTCTCTCTCTCTCTCTCGGCCCTTTTCCCGTTTGGAACCTTTTCAACGGGTCTTTTACTACTCGCGGGGAGACGTCGCCCATGGATCGAAACAACTCTATATACGCGGGTGGGCTTTCTGGCCGGTGGACTCAAGCTTTGCCGAGCCAGTTGTGCTTCTTTAGTCCGCCATGGGGAGCGGCCTCAAGCTTTCAAGGAGCCCACGAAACAATGCTTGGTTTCAATTCAGGTATCCTCTCTACCCGCTCTGTCCCCTGGCCTAAATGGTATGACCGGGGGCGTCGAGAATCAAGTTGCAGAATGGGGGCCTCCGCTCTGCCTGCAGTCATGGCAAATGATATCCCTGGTCAGGCTATGGTACCCCAGTCCGAGTCAGTCCCTGCTGTACATACGCAATGTCCCATTCCTACACTTTGCTACTGGTTTGAAACGGACCTCCGGTTGGGTTGGTGGATGGTTAGCTGATGTAACCTTTCCTCTGATTGCACAGGGGCCTGATATGTGGACTTGCTCGGGGAGAGAGAACAGAGATGTCATATGCTATGGTTTTCATACCGTGAAAGGGGCGGATCTCTTCCCGTCCAGAAGATATATAAGCCTGCTTGTCAGCCCTTCAAGATGGAAACATTCTCGGACAGAAGAGAAAAAATCAACTCTCAATCAGCCCATAGATTCCCAGTGAATCTTCTACCTTTCTTTTTATTTTCTTTTTTGAATCACTACCGTTCTTGTCCATACTTTTTTACCGATTATTTTCTTCTCCAATTCAGTCAACATGCAAGTCATCGTTGCTCTCGCCGCCCTCAGCTCTCTTGCTGCTCCAGCCCTTGGCTTCTCCATTCCCCGTGGTGTCCCAGTCAGCCAGTCCATGATCGATGTCAAGCTCAGCGCTACCGGTAACTCCATGGTCAAGGCCACCATCACCAACAATGGCAACCGTGCTTTGAACCTCCTGAAATTCCATACCATCATGGACTCCAACCCAACCCGCAAGGTCTCCATTGAGTCCGAGGGTAAGTGATAATACCGAAGACTCCACCGGGAATTGACTGCTAACATTTTCATAGATGGTAAGGAGATCCAGTTCACCGGAATGATGCCAACATACAAGGAGAAGGACCTCAAGCCAAGCTACTTCATCTCCCTCCCACCAAAGGGAACCGTTGAGCACTCCTTTGACATTGCCAGAACCCACGACCTTTCCCGTGGCGGCAAGTTCACCCTCAAGGCTGAGGGAATGGTCCCAATTGCAGAGGAGAACGGCACCGAAATCACCGGTGCTGCTAAGTACCACTCCAACGAGCTCCATATGACGATCGACGGCGAGAAGGCCGCCTCTGTCGAGAACGCCTTTGGCATTGTCAAGCGTGGACCTCGCTCTAGAATCACTAAGCGCACCAGCATCGACATGCAGTCCTGCGGCAACAGCCAGGAGCTCCAGGCTTTGACTGCTGCCCTCAAGGCCTCTGCTCAGCTCTCCAGCATGTCTGCCCAGGCCGTCAGCCAGAACCAGGACAAGTACATGGAGTACTTCAAGGACCCTCAGTACATGCAGACCGTTCAGAGCCGCTTCCAGGCCGTTGCTCAGGAGTCTAGCTCCACCACCGGTGGTGGCACTACCTACCACTGCTCCGACACCATGGGTGGCTGCGAGGAAGGTGTCCTCGCCTACACTCTCCCATCCCAGAACGAGGTCTTCAACTGCCCAATCTACTACAGCGATCTCCCACCACTCAGCAACGAGTGCCACGCTCAGGACCAGGCTACCACCACCCTCCATGAGCTCACCCACAACCCTGCTGTCCAGGAGCCATTCTGCGAGGACAACGGCTACGGATATGAGCGTGCCACCGCCCTCTCTGCTGAGAAGGCCGTCCAGAACGCTGACAGCTACGCTCTCTTCGCCAACGGTAGGCTCAATCCAATTCTACCGATGCTTATAGATCCTGACTAACGTTGAATATAGCTATCTACGTTGGCTGCTAAACGATTCCTTCCAGTCGTTCGTTTTGGAGCAAGAAGTTGAAGCGGTACATATATTTTATCATTCTTTTACTCCATGAGGCGATTTTAATCATGACTGCTGGATTGCCAGTCTACCTTTCACGCCTCTTGGGACCTATCGTTTCCCTCCATGTAAATACAATTACATTCTACATATATACTTAGAAACTGTGCATATCAAATTGGACGTTTCAAGCAAGCAGCTCTGTTCCATCGCTAAATTAGATATGAAGTTCCTGCTTTAACCCTTAACTGAAATATTTTACGCTCGTCCATCCAGATTTAGCCAGAGTTTCTGGGATCAGGGGTTATGATGTATATTATTAGGCGATTTCTGTCATGAGCTTGAAGTGAAGCAGGAAGTTGGGCTTCAACTTGATGTCTCAACTTCCTACCATTGTCGATTTAGCTCGAAACGCGATGTCACGATCTGCTATCGCTAACTGCTGTCAAAGCATATATTCTTACCTAGCTTACTCGTTTCGTTCTCCTTTACCTGCTGATTGCATCGAATTCAACAGAGTGGTATCCTTTCCTTCTGTAAATCCCATCAAGTAATATTCACACACTACATGCAAGCCCCCGTACATCAAATAATGTATCTTCCACGGGGTGATTGCTAGGCAATCTGTGGGTCTCAGTAACTGATATGAGGCAGGGCAGTCGTGCAGATATGCTCCCTAAACCTCGGGGATAATCTTACTGTCTCAATAGGCTACTGTGATCTGCACCAGTATGGTCACTGTGGCGAGTCGATGGTCCTGGGGCATATCCAGTCTATCTTGGACAGTCCTGAATGGTCACAGCTTAGATCGAAGGTGGTCTTGGCTTTGGAGGCCATAGCTGTGTCTAAGAATTTTCGGGAGGATGGATCCTACTGCTATACTCCGAACAGCTCTTAGCTTTGATACTTCGGATGCGCCTGGCGCCGCCCTCATCTTGTTTAGCCAACAAACAATAATATAAATTGCGACGACAATGAAGCATTTTGCTGCTTTTTCTTCTGTTGTCGTCGAAGTAAAGAGTCAAGGTTTAATCACGTGATATATGCCAAGATTTCATTACCTAATCATCACCTGTATCAAATTGAAGATCGCGACAACGAGCAGCCGGGCATCAATTACACGCGAGACAGCTCCGTCACTCTTTAAATTCCTTTCGGTTGCCCCGATATAGTCATAAAAATTATTCACTGACAGATTTGTGCTCACTTTTGACGTCTATACCCTCGAGATGAATTCTTCTGCCCCGCCCGCGGCGGCAGAGTATGGCGGAGGTAAGAGGCACCTCAGTCAACTCGGCTTGCTTTTACTTATTCCATAAGATACTAAGGCTTCTGATTGCTAGATGAGGTATCTGCGATAATTCTAGATCCAGGATACGCTTCGACGCGTGCTGGATTCGCCGGCGAAGACACTCCAAAATCCGTCATTCCTACGCACTATGGAAAGTACTCTACGGATGCGCAAGAAAAATACGTTTACGGCGACAACATCTTTGTCTCTCCGCGCCCAGGCATCTCCGTTCACAACCCAATCAACAGAGATGGAATTGTGGAAGACTGGGAGATGGCTGAAAAGCTGTGGGAGTATTCATTCACCTCACGATTGACGAGCCGAAAACCTGAAAACCCAATGAACAATGGGCTAAATGATCCGAACCCCGAAGATTTACCTGCGGAGATGGAAGGGGTAGCGGCAGAAGAAAAACCACTGGCTGATAGCCCGCTGCTGATGACTGAGCCTGGATGGAACCCGACAAAGGCAAGAGAAAAGACGATTGAAATCGCAATGGAAAATTGGGGGACACCAGCCTTTTACCTCTCTAGGAATGGGCCATTAGCCAGGTTCGTACACTTCTTTGCCCAATTCTCTATCGCTCTATGGTAAACTGACGGGTATGTATAGTTTTGCCGCTGGAAAAGCTACCGCGCTGGTAGTTGATGTTGGTGCCAGTAATATCTCCGTGACCCCGGTCCATGATGGCTTGGTTCTCAAGCGCGGAGTACAGCATTCCCAACTTGCCGGTGACTTCGTCTCATCTCAGATCCGAGCCCTTCTCAAATCAAGTACACCGCCAGTTAACTTGACACCCCATTACCTAATTTCTTCCAAGGCTGCAGTCGATGCTGGCCAACCCGCTCAAGCGGTATACAAGGATCTACCCGAGAACAAACTCCCAGGCCCTTCATACCGCCGGCTGATAGAGGACCGAACACTTTCAGAGTTCAAAGAGTGTGTAGTGCAGGTTTGGCCAGGGCCTGGTGCCCTATCCGCCCAAGGCCCCAATGGCACCTCCAACGAGGAGCTAGCAAAAGCCATTCCAATGCGTTCATTTGAATTCCCAGACGGCTTTAATCAGCTTTTCGGCCCTGAAAGATATCGTGTTGCTGAGAGCCTATTTGACGCTAAGGCTGCTTTGCCTGATCCAGATTCCGAGTTCCCTTCACCAACAGCCAACCAGACAATACCAGAATTGGTCCGGATTGCCCTCAACCAAGTTGATGTTGACATTAGGCCAACTCTACTTGCGAATGTAGTGGTTACTGGAGCAGGCAGTTTGCTTTACGGCTTCACTGATCGGTTGAACTATGAGCTCACAAATATGTACCCTAGTCCGAGAGTTAGAATATCTGCTCCTGGAAACACTGCAGAGAGAAAGTTTGGTTCCTGGATAGGTGGAAGTATTGTGGCCAGTCTGGGAACATTCCATCAGATGTGGATTTCGAAGAAGGAATATGACGAACATGGCCCAAATATTGTGGAAAAGCGATGCAAGTGAGGCATCGCCTACGCCATGTCCTTGGAGATAATGCCATACGGCATATCTTTCGAGCTCGAATTCCCATACAGAGGTATTCTGCTTCTTCGCTTGGGGGCCCCTTAAAAGTTCTTACCAGTGCCGATTGCTATGAAAAGTTGCGACTCCATGAGCTTATGTCCCCGCTTAAAATGGCAATTCGAAGTCCACTCCTACCTCCAGGAACAAAAAAATGTATTGGTGGTTAATTAATAATTAAGCCGAAAGGGGGTGCTATAAAATCAGTGTCTCTAGGGCGGCTGTGCTGATAGATTATGCGGACATGGAATCCTTCCCAGGGGTCTGTTCTAACAATATGATTTATGTATTTCAACGAATCCGAAACTTAAGTCTATTTCAACTATTCTCTTCTCTCCGCTGCAGTATCGTGAGCCTGCCCTTCATAAACATCGCTATCAGGGGACCCTTCTAACTCCTTAACGAGCAAATCGGCGTCTCGCTTCCCTCGCTCTGCATCCACGAGCATCATAAGCGGCAATGGTATTATGACGAGCAGAGCTAGGAAGAAAAACGCTGGACGAATTTCTCCGTATCGGTCAGTAATGGCTCCTACGATGGCAGGACCGAAGAAGCTTGAGCCTTTATCTGTGATAGCGTAAAGTGCGTAAAACGAAGCCTCAAAGCCGTGGGGGATAAGTTCGCCGAAGAAACTGCGGCAGTAGGAAGAGAGGCCACCTATGACGAGTCCGTAAATGGCACCAAGGGGGTACATTTCCCAGGGTTGCTGGAGGCCGAGAACACCCAGTCTTCGAATGGGAGGGAAGAAGCCTAGGAGACCATATAGAGGTATAATCTCAAATATACAAATGCAGGCAATGATGGTCTGTGAAGGGCGAAGTCCCATGAGGCGAGAGACGTAGCTCCAGTAAAATGCACCACAGACACCTGAGATCATAGTGATGACGTTAATCATACCTAGAGCAGCTAGTTCCATTTTAAGCTGAGTCTTCGCAAATAAGACTGCAGTACCACTGACAGTTGCAATTCCATCGGATAGTAAGAACCAGGCGGCCAAAAATAAGACAACATCTTTTAATCGACGAGCTCTCATGGCTGTCCTGCCCAAGGACTTCCATGCAAATAAGACGTAGTCAACCCATGGCCAGCTGCTGTCCTTTCTTGTGACATGCTCCGGGAGCGGAGGGCCGGGTCTAGGACGCAGCCATAAGCCAGCTGGGATGGTGAATATAAACCACCAGAGTCCAATCAGGAACAGGACAAGCCGGAGAGAGAAAGTCGTAGAGTTAGTGGCTAGGACCAGAAGGATACAGCAAATCTGAACCAGTACAGCAGCTGTATACCCAATTCCAATTCCGTTGGAAGATATTTTGGATGACAATTCTAAGGCTGCCGAGACTGATGGCGCAGCCGGCGCACTCTGTGTAGTGTCTCCCTGAGAAGAATGTTGCTCTGTGGATGCTGACAAGTCTCCATGGACTTCTGGGCTAGAGTCAGAGTAAGCAGGCGCGTCTGCCTTGTACCCTCGGATGGATGGATGGTTACGAACAAGGAGCGGTAGGAAGGAATTCAGGAGTACAAAGGATCCGCCAAAGCCGGTATTGGCAACAACAGCTAGGAAGGCAGCCAGCATGTATAAGCGTGAGGAGAGTGGGAAGAAGAGCATCATGGCAATAGATCCTACTATAGCGAATATAAGCAGGAAAGTCTTGCGGTAGGCACCATGATCTGCAGCTGCTGAAATGGATATAATGATGAGAGATTGGATCAAGACGCTGGCTGAGAAGGTATACATGGCAAAGCTGGCGGTGTTGACTTCAAATCCTAGGACGTAGACCAGACACTGGTTGCTCGCAGGCACTGCATTAAGCGCAGAGACAGCTGTTGTGGCGTTAGCGGTGGCATTGGTGTGCTTCCATGTCGAAGTACAGGGAGTAGTCTTGTCGGAGACCAACACTCCTTGGTCTCTAGTCATTTGTTCGAGTGCAAGGGGAAGAAAGGAGCCTGTCAGCCGTCGGTTAGATATCATCAGTCAACCAGTTGCTGAATGTTCAGAGTAGCTGTAGGCTGCAGCTGTAGCTATGCGGGCAACGACGTACCCATGGCACACACGACGAAAACTTCAGCTGCCCATCCATAGCAGTACCAGCCTGCTAGTTCCTTTTTGCTTGTAGGCCGAGTGTCCTCTTGGGGGTGGGCTTCAGTTTGCGATGGGAGTAAAGGAGCGCTTCCACCCCCGTCCTCCATCTCGGAGACGGCGGAGCTCGACATCAGAGCAGGATGGTATCTGCGTATTGAGGGAGACGGAGCGAGACGAGAGGTCACGGTGCTTCACGCCCTGCTGTGAAGCTGCATGGTTGATGTGTATGTGTAGGCCGATGTCCCAGACTCAAAGATGAGTCTTTTGAGGTTGTAGCGGTAGAGGTGAAGCTGGAGAAGCTTACAGCCGCTGGAGTCGATAGCGGGCGCCACGTGAGACCTTGTCTTAGTTAAAGCCAGCTGAAGCTCCAGTTAAAGACCCATCCAAGTTAGTTAAAGCTTCCGTTAAAGGCTGCTGAAACTGGGCGGCCTCAGTTAAAGCTTTAGTTAAGAGATCTAGTTAAAGCCAGGTAAACACTTAGCTAAAGGCTTAGTTAAAGACACGATGATCCTGGTTGAAGCAGGAGCCATAACAATCTCCTATCTTCACCTCCCACCCTCCGCTACCTTTCCTCTTCTTACCACCCTCTTGCTCGTTTCCTCGCTCCTCACCATCTCTACTCTTTACTGTTTACTTTCTTCTTCTTCTTCTTCTTTTCTTTTCTTCTGTTTGGCTTTTGCTTCTTCGATGAACATTCACGTGATTGAGGCTCCACTTAAACTTATCGAAGCTTCGACTTTGAACATTTTTTATGCAGAGACAAATTTCATCGGGATAAGGAAGATTTCGACCCGAGGGATGGCAGGTTGCAGAGAGTGGTTTTGAGGCGCACGGGGATTTGTCACTTACATCTTGCGCTCTACTTCTGGGTATTGTGAAAAATATACCGGATCTCAAGCGTTAGGTGAAGTTGCGTGGGATCGCACCCAGAGAGACGAATTGAGGAACTGCCATTGGACTCGAATTCGATATTGATACAACGAAACTATCTATCTTCCGCTACCCCCTTTAGATACAGCTAGAAATGTCTTCCCAGAATGATGCAGCTACCAGTACGGCGGCCCTTCCAATGTCCAATCCAGAAGCTTTTTTAAAGCCTTCCCCAGTTCTATATTCTGGATCAGTTGCTGCAGCAAAGGGATATCTTGACTCTCTTACACAGGACTTGAAAAAAGAGCAGCGTGAACAAAAACGGAAGCAGCGTACCACAGTCCCCCAAGTCCATCAGCTCCATGTTAACGGGTTCAACCACAATCAGATATGGGAGCAAGCGAAGCGCATCCTGGATTCAGCGTTGACAATATCTTCCCGGGACTTGGACAGGTTCAATGAACGAAATACAGCGTTATCCAGACCTTCCAAACAGAAATTTCCCGAGGATGACGAGAGTATGTTGGACGAGGTGGAAGACGATGAGGAAATGGAGGACGACGAAGACAACGAAGACAATGAAGAAATGCTAGACTTGGAAGATGAGGAAGAAGTCGATTTTGCCGAGGACTATGGTGAATCATTACCAGAGGAAGAGAAAGAAGAGGATGAGGAGGAGGAAGAAAAAGAAGACGGAACTTTGGACGGAGATGAGCCCCCGCGTCCCGATAAAAAGAAGAAAATCGATCCCCATGGCCTGAACGATGACTTCTTCTCATTAGAAGAATTCAACAAACAGTCAACCTTCTTTGAAAACCGGGATTCCAGGCGCCCGCACACCGATGCTGACAGCGACGAGGAGGATATAGACTGGGATGCAGATCCCCTCGCACTACCAGATATACCAGACAAGAGAACCGTGGACGAAGTCGAAAATGACGAAGATGAAGATGATATAGACGAGGACGAGTTGGATCTTGATATGGAAATACCCGACGCCAATTTCGAAGAAGGAGATGAAGATGAAGATGGTGATATGGGTCTGAAAGATGACCCCCGGAACGCTAAATATGAAGACTTCTTCGATCCTCCGCCGAATGCTAAGAAATCCAAATCAAAACAGACAAAGCAAACTCAAGAAGATATAGATGCGGACATTGATCGAGCAATGGCAAACGTACGGCGAGATTTGTTTGATGATGATGAAATGAGCGGGGAAGACGATGCTATGGAAGGCGAACAGTCAAAAAACATGTCCAGCCATGAAAAAAGACGAGCACAGATCGCAGATGAGATACGACGGCTAGAAGCTGCCAATGTCGCAAAGAAAGACTGGACGCTGATGGGAGAAGCTCAGAGCAATGCCAGACCAATCAACTCACTAATCGAAGAAGATTTGGACTTTGAGCGAGTTGGCAAGCCAGTGCCCATCATCACGACCGAGGTCAGCAACGATATCGAATCACTCATCAAACGCAGGATCATTACTAAGGAGTTTGATGATATTATCCGTCGTCGACCACTTGCTATTGGCGAACAGGGCGGAACCACTAAGCGGAAGTTTGAGCTGGACGAGACGAAACCTCAGCATAGTCTGGCGGAGCTATATGAGCAGGACCATCTACGTGCCACCGACCCGGGATTCATCGACAAGGGAGCTGAAAAGCTACGGAAAGAGCACAACGAGGTTATTCAGCTATGGGAGGAGATTAGCTCTCAGCTAGACACCCTATCAAACTGGCACTTCAAGCCCAAAAGGCCTCAGGTTGACCTTAATGTGGTATCTAATGTTGATACTATCACTATGGAAGATGCTCAGCCAACTACCCGTGGTGAATCCGGTATTGCGTCTGGAAACATGGCTCCTCATGAGATATATAACCCAAGTGAAACCAGAATGGCCGGAGAGATCAAGTTGAAGAGTGGTGTATCGTTGGCTAAGGACGAACTGGACAAGGAGACTAAGCTACGACATCGTCGCCGCCGTGAGGCACAGAAGAAGAGAAAGAGAGAATCCCAAGCAGCTGCCAGCAAGCCTGACAGTGCTTCATCGCAGAAGAAAGAGTTGGTCTCGAACTTGAAGAAGGGAGGCGTCAAAGTCATTGGCAAGGGAGGCAATTTGACTGACGTCCAGGGGAACAAAATCCAGGACACTGCCTCCACGGGCCGTGAGAACCTTAAGCTGTGAATAGATTAAATAAAAATCACCTGTACCTGCATACCGTCGGCGTTGGAAGAGGTTTAGAAAATAAAAGAATCAAAGGTTTTGAATATTCAAACGTTCTCAAGGCTTTTCCATTCGTTGTCTAAGAATATACAAAAATATCCTCTCCTGTTTACAGAAGTCCCGGTCAACTCCCTCCGTCACCTCCACGACATCAAATTTCTTCTTCATCTGCTTGACAAACCGCATATCGGCCTTACGCCGTTTCTTAAAGCAGAAATAACACACTACATCCTCTTCGTCCAGCAGCGCCTCTAGAGTCAGCAGCAGTAATGGGAATGCTGGCTCAAAGTACACACAATCCGCTGCAAGAATCACTTTGGCCCGGGGTAAAGCACGAACAGCGCCTTCGTCACCCCAGTCGAGCAAGGCAGCGTGAACCGAGCCGTTAAGCCCGTTTAGTTCGATGTTCTGTTTCATGAGCTCGAACATCGCCATTTGGTCGGTGATGTAGATTGGTGAATCGACGGCACATCCTTTGGCGACAGCGAGGCCTACAAGGCCACTTCCGCTACCTAATTCGATTCTAGCCATGGTCATTCATATGTTAGTTTCTGTCCGGGAGGTTTGGTTAATATTCAATACTTTTTTTTTTTTTTTTTTTTTTTTTTTTTTTTTTTTTTTTTTTTTTTTTTTTTCAGTTATCTCTATCAAACTTCAATCAAATCAAAGGGGATGGACGGATTGATTACTACATTGTCTTGCCCTGGAGGCCAGCGGTATGGTTCTCAATCATGTACTTCGACAAGACGACGCCTGCAGGCCATATTTGGCCGCCGCAGCCGTTTCTTAGGTCTTCTCTTAGTTGTAATGGCGGGTTGAGTATGTCGTCAAGAGAGACGGTGCTGGTGCCTGCACATTGAATCTCTCTGGGTGGGACGAGAGAGTCTAGAACTGGCGCAGACGCCAGCTCGGCGATATCACCCATGAGAACAGAAGAATTTAGCAACTGCTTTAGTGAGTTTGGTGGTTATTATCGAGGGTGATATTGGTTATTTGGTTGTTGCAGTTGATAATTTGGAGATTTTTTTTTCTCATGATTTTTTTTTTTAGAGAAAAATATCCTCGCCTCTCTGTGCGGAAAGTTAAAGCCCCCCATGTAAGCCAACAGCACGGCCAAACGGGTTAAGATATGGGATATCAGAAGCTCTCGAGGATCTTGTGGGATACTGGATGTTAGCTTTAATGTTTGATAGATTTCAGCCGTTGTGTTTGGTGGGATGTCTTGCCTTAAATCATGGCCAAGGGATGATATTGATAATACGACCATCAATGCCGATTTTGTGGAAAAATAAGGTACCATGGACAAAGGTGAAGAGAAAATAGATAGAAGAAATATGTTCATACATGGCTATTCTATACATGTGGAATTGACGTAGGGAGGTGCCTGTATAGGTGGCAGATGTTTCCCAACTATAAGCCAATATATATCCAATAGACCAGTTAGGACAAAAGAGAAACATTGTCGAGAATGCAAATAGAGTACTCTACAGACGGAAATGAAAGAAGAGAGAGAGAGAAAACAATGAACTGCCCATTCTATTGACCTAGCTGCGTAGTTCTAGATAAAAGTGCGGCATGGGTATCTATACGGTTAGATTAGTATATGAAGGAACTGAGTGATGCAACAGCTGAGAATATCAACTTACTTTGACGGATAGGCCTGATCTGAAGGAAGGCTATATGTGTTTCCAGCGTTCAAGTGAGCAGGGAGAGGTGGCATCCCACTTGGTCCAAGGACATCAGCTCCCGAGCTGGCCTTCTCCTCGAAATGCGCAGCCAATCCACGCTCCTCAGCCGTCTGCTGCGTCTGCACCAGCTGCTTCGAGCCCGCCTCACCGGCAAGAAGACTGTCCTTGGGCTCGGCCTTGCTGCCGTATGTCAAGAGTCCGACGACATCCGCCTGTTTCACCACGCTGGCCTGTGGGTAGGCTCTTCGCACATCTCGCTTCCAGTATGGGTTGTCAGCGAGGTCAGCTGCTGGAATAGTGACGGGGTCGTCGTATGTCTGTGGCTCAAGGGCTCCCGGGGCCGGGTTGCGGAATTGGGCGTTCAGAGGGACACCGGTCGAACGAGTAGGGTCGACGGCAAGAGCCCGTCGGATTCTCTCCCATATGCCGTAGGATTGTACAGTGTATTTCTAAACCGTGTTAGACTCGTCGTAGAATGAGGCGGAAACGAAGTCTTTGACGGTTGCAGATGGGGATATAAGTATGTACGGACCTGGTTGACGGGGACGACGTGCGAGGCGGCCGACGCCTTCTGGAGGATCTTGGACGCTCTCATCTCCTGTAACCACTCAATTAGGGCTGTACACTGTGATAGACTGCGTGGGACTCACCGGAATCAAAGCGAAGACGCTGGCTTGGTCGCTCTTCGGTGGTTCTTCTCGTCTGCTTCTTCTCTTTGACGTTGGAGAAGCCGAAGCCAGCAAGCAAAACGAGAGTCGAAGCGCAAAAAACGCCAAGCTCGAGCCGGCTTCGAACGTCAAAAACAACAAACGCAAGACGAGAAATGGGGCAGGCGAGCAAGACGGAGAAGCGGATTTGATATACAGCGAGAGATGGGGTGATTACTAGAGCAACAGCACTACAAGATTGACGGCCGGGGCTGGGGAGGTTCGGCTGGGAGTCTGCTGGTGGTTCTACGATGGCTGCTGTTGGCGGTCTACTAGGGTGGGCGCTCCTTGGACGGCTGGAGAGGGCGCCTTTTGGAGAGCGCAAGCTGGGCTCAGGACAGCGGCAGCAGAGATAGAATTACGCGATAGATAGGCGATAGACAGACGCATTATAGGAGGCGAGCTCGCGCCTGGACGCGGTAAAGGAAGCAGACGAAGAAGAAACGAGCTAGCGACCTTGTCTTCTTCTGCTGCTGCCAGTCGTGCGTGCTTCTTCTCTTCTTCTTTCTCCGGCTTCGCTACACATTCCACCAAATTCTCCCTTCATCCGCTGCAAAGCAACCAGATAGACAGACCTACGATGGCTCCTGAGCTGAGAAAACGCAAGGCGCCGGCTCCTGCTCCAGTGGCAGAGCCAAAGGCGAAGAGAGGATCCAAGGCCGGCGCCAAAGCTGAGCCCAAGAAGGCCGCGCCCAAGGAGAAGAAGGCCGCCGCCGCCGCTCCTCCTGCTGAGCCTGAGAAGGCCGACAAGACGGAGGAAAAGAAGGAAGAGAAGAAGGAAGAGGAAATCGAGGAAAAGAAAGAGGACAAAGGTGAAGAAGCTGAGGAGAAAGCTGCCGGCCGCGTCCCTGAAGAAGGCGACGTCCTCGACCTCAGCCAGTTCGAGGCCGAGATCGAGCTCAACGACGGCACAAAGACATCCTTCAGAAAGCTGTTGGAGGAGAGCAAAGAGGGGGTTGTCGTGTTTACCTATCCCAAGGCCTCGACTCCTGGCTGTAAGTCGGCTCTCTTCTCAATTGCCAAAGAGACGAGTCTCCATCTAACAGTGGTTTGTTGATAATATTATAGGCACCAGACAGGCATGCGCCTTTAGAGACGACTACACCAACCTGACCTCGACTGGACTCTCGATCTTCGGACTCTCTGGCGACTCTCCCAAGGCCAACACGACGTTCCAGACCAAGCAGAAGCTGCCTTACCCGCTTCTGTGTGATCCATCCTTCACGCTCATCGGCGCTTTTGGCCTGAAGAAGTCCCCCAAAGGCACCGTTCGCGGTGTCTTTGCCGTCAACAAGGAAGGAAAAGTGCTTCTGCGCACTCCGGGAGGACCAGAAAAGACGCTCAACCTGGTCCAGGACTTGGTCAAGGGGAAGTAAGCGGACAAATGCTCGATGTGCGCAAATGATGGACTAGTGTATTTTTTTAATCTGTGGTCTTTTCTGAGGCGAGATCAGGCGGGTTCGCTCGGTGATATGGGGGTCTTTTTCTCGCTCTCTTTCTGTTCTCTGTCTGCGTGTTCTGTGTGTCTCGTGCTTCTCTTTATCTTACAATGGATACTCCGTACTCTCTCGGTTTATCTTTCTCCATCGTCTCTCTGTCGTCTTTCCTCTTTCCAATGCTCTTCCGCTGCTTTTCTTCCCGACGGACATTTATCAACTATCGATTTCCACTGAATAACACAAGAGAGGCCGATGCGGCTTAGTCATCGGCTTAGCGGGGCGGAGCCGTGGTTGGCGCTGTGGTGACGCTGCATCAGAAGAAGAAGAAGAAGAAGACCAAGTTAGCAAAAGGGAAAAGGAAGAAGAAGAGGAAGAAGAAGAATCCTGGAGCCTTGAGCGGTCGTGTATCTCTGTGGCTGGTGCAAAAAGGGCGCTCGCTTCTGCGCATCTATATAAGCCAGCGGTCGACCGTGATCCTCCTCCCAGCGCAAACCTTCCAGGCTGCTCCGTTTTAGTTACCCCTCCGACTAAACTGTTATCCCTTAACAATATAACGACAACATCAACAACTACTTAATATCCGGCTGCCAAAGAGAAGCAGGATAGGAAGACGGCGCCATGAATGTGATAAAGCTCCAAAGGTCAGCAGTGCTCAGATCAAGACGTTGTGGCCGGAGATATAACTGACTGGGAGTATAATAGGAAATACCCGCAGTTCCAGCAGAACGAGATCTTTACCCTCCAAGATGCCTTTCACAAGCTAGACGTAGACGACAAGGGCTACCTCGACGAAGCTGAGACGATCAAAGCGACCCAGGCCTCAGAGAGACTGCCGTACGATGTTGTCCGGCAGACATTGAAGGAGGTCGAACTGGATAGCTCTCGCCGGGTCGAGTTCGAGGATTACGTTGACGTCAGTGACCATTAAACTCCTACATCTCGACTGAATATTTACGGGGAAATATGTTCGGATAATACAGTGGATGCTGACAGTGTACAGTTGATAGCAAAACTGCGAAGCGGTGGCCAACCCGCCAGTGCCGCACCCCCCGTTCCCTCCAAACCCTCGTCGCATGTCTCCGGCGGTCATGGACATGCCTCCAAGGGAAGCATCAGCGGCAAGATCCACGTCCAGGGCTCGTCTGCGAACGTCACGCACACTATCAACGAAGATGAGAGAACCGAATTCACCAGACACATCAACGCCGTGCTTGCAGGTGACCCGGATATCGGCCACATGCTCCCCTTCCCAACGGACACCTTTGAGATGTTTGATAAGTGCAAGGATGGTTTGGTGCTGGCAAAGCTTATCAACGACAGTGTGCCCGATACCATTGACGAGCGAGTGTTAAACAGACCAGGCATACGAATAAAGCAGCTTAATGCGTTTCACATGACTGAGAACAATAACATCGTTATCAACTCAGCAAAGGGCATTGGATGTTCGGTTGTCAATATTGGAAGCGGAGATATCATTGAGGTCCGAGAACATCTTATTCTCGGTCTTATCTGGCAGGTTATTCGTCGTGGTTTGCTCGGCAAGATTGACATAAAGCTTCACCCCGAGCTGTACAGATTACTGGAAGACGACGAGACATTGGACGAGTTCCTTCGTCTGCCTCCTGAGCAGATCTTGTTGCGCTGGTTCAACTATCACCTTAAGAATGCCAAATGGCACAGAACGTGAGTACTGTCTTGCCCAAGGGAGAGGAATGGGAGCTAACATATACACTAGAGTATCAAACTTCTCTACTGATGTCAAAGATGGAGAGAACTATACCATCCTGCTGAACCAGCTGGCCCCTGATATCTGCTCACGGAAGCCCCTCGAGACCCGTGACCTGCTGCAGCGTGCCGAACAGGTCTTAGACAACGCTGATTTGCTAGAATGCCGCAAGTTCCTGACACCATCCTCGCTTGTGGCCGGAAACCCTAAGCTTAACCTTGCCTTCGTTGCCAATCTGTTCAATACTCATCCCGGACTGGAGCCCATTACAGAGGAGGACAAGCTCGAGGTGGAAGACTTTGACGCCGAAGGAGAGCGTGAAGCTCGTGTATTTACTCTCTGGCTGAACTCTCTTGACGTCCAACCCGCCGTCAACTCGCTCTTCAACGACCTAAGGGATGGAACCATTATCCTCCAGGCTTACGACAAGGTCATCCCGAACAGCGTTAATTGGCGGCACGTTAACAAGCCTCCCGCGTCGGGCGGTGAGCTGATGCGGTTCAAAGCAGTGGAGAACACTAACTACGTAATTGAGATCGGGAAACAAAACCGCTTCTCCCTCGTGGGCATTCAGGGGGCTGACATTACGGATGGCCAACGCACCCTCACTCTCGGCCTAGTCTGGCAGTTGATGAGAAAGGACATTACCAACACACTGTCCTCTCTCGCAGAGCGACTAGGCAAGCGTGAAATCACCGACAATGAAATGATTCGATGGGCCAACGACATGTCTCGCAAGGGCGGAAAGAGCTCAAGCATCCGCAGTTTCAAGGACCAGTCTATCGCCACCGGTATCTTCCTGCTCGATATCCTCAACGGAATGAAGAGCAGCTATGTCGACTATGACCTTGTCACCCCCGGACGAACAGACGAGGAATGCTATGCTAACGCAAAGCTTGCCATCAGTATTGCCAGAAAGATGGGGGCCACGATATGGTTGGTTCCTGAGGATATCTGCCAGGTCCGCTCCAGACTTGTCACCACATTTATCGGTAAGTTTGTGCCTCTTACAGTCCACTTTTTTCTCCTTCCTTCGCTAACCATCCCGCTAGGATCGCTGATGGCGACATTCGAGAAGATGTGAGGGGAAATCGAAAGAACGGGCGAAGCAAATGAACTACTCCGTACTTGCACTATGTAGAATAGTCAATGTCGAACGCCGGGTGGAGCTTTGAACAGAAGTGCGGAATTGAAACTTGAAACCATATCTGGGCGTGACGAGGAAGCTGACGGTTTTGTTTCCAAACCCTGATATCATAACAAAATACCTATATTGCAATCAATTGTCTATTGACGCTTGTACCTGTACCTCCTGTAGCCCTGGCTGGCACCTCACTTTCAAAGCAGCTCCCAGCTAAGTATAATGAAGGAATAACAAGAAGAGACTTCAGTCCTCTCTCTGGTCATGTGTACTACTACCGCTAGCTCGGGAAACCGGCCAACATCTACAAAACCTACGTGTCAGATGGACTGAAAAGCTTTTTCAGGCGTTACCACTTTCCGCGGGAGTCTGCTGCCCACTGCTTTTGAATCCAGCGCCTCCGTTTGGCCGGCAGCGCGATTTTGACGCTTCGTCCGGCACGCAGCGTCGGGAAGAGCTTATCGATAAGCTTTTTAGTGGCGCTTAGTGGGGCGGCTCTTCGGAGAATCGCCGACGACCGCTCGAACCTCCAGCCGGCGGGCTCACACTTCTGCTGCTATATTGAAACCCGATATACCCCAGGCAGAGACACTGAGAAGCTCTGGGAAGCTCTTATCTAACCCTGACTGTTGAAGAAGACCAAGACGACGAACGAAACTGCTTGATTGATCCCATTTGGATACTCCGTTGTTGCTAGCTATCTGGGCGTGGCCATGTCTCAGGTCCAAGGAAATGGAATCCGCATTGCCATTGACGTTAGTATTGCTTGATATTACTACAGGATGTCTTGTCTATTGAACGTCCCGTACTGATGTGTGTATGTATATAGCGTGGCGGCACGTTCACGGACTGCGTGGGCAATCCGGGGACGGGCAGGATGGAAGATGACGTCGTGATCAAGCTGCTGTCCGAGGATCCGTCAAATTACAAGGATGCACCCCTCGAGGGCATTCGTAGGCTTCTATCGAAGTTCCAGGGTGAAGAGATCCCTCGAGGCGTTCCCCTCGACACATCCAACATCGAGAGCATACGTATGGGCACGACTGTTGCTACCAATGCCCTCCTCGAGCGTAAGGGTGAGCGGATGGCCCTTGTCGTCACTCAGGGATTCCGGGATTGCCTGAAGATCGGAAATCAGTCTCGTCCTAAGATCTTTGACCTTGCCATTCGTCGACCGGACGATCTGTTTGAGGAAGTGGTTGAAATAGAAGAGAGAGTTACCCTGGAAGACTACGCTGAGGACCCAACGAGGCACGCAACCTCCACGGTGGCCCGTACCGAGGAAGCAAAGGATGCTGAGATTGTTCGAGGCTTATCTTCAGAGGCTGTGCGGATCCTGCAGCGTCCATCTGAGGGCAAAATCAGGGAGCAGCTACAAGCCCTGTATGATAAGGGCTTTAGAAGCATTGCCGTCTGCTTGATGCACGGCTATACTTTCCCAGACCATGAATCTCTGATTGGAAAAATCGCCAGTGATATCGGCTTCACGCATGTCAGCTTAAGTCACCAGCTCATGCCCATGATTAAGCTCGTTCCCCGAGCTACCTCTGCCTGCGCCGATGCTTACCTCACTCCAACTATCAAACGATACATTTCTGGCTTCCAATCTGGATTCAAGGGCGTCCTGGGCGCAGAAGGTGTCAAGGACCCATCTCAGCCAAAGAGTGCTCGATGTGAATTCATGCAGTCGGATGGTGGCCTTGTCGATGTCAATGGCTTCACCGGTCTCCGAGCTATCCTTTCTGGTCCCGCCGGTGGTGTCGTCGGATATGCCCTGACTAGTTACGATCCCAAGACCAAGATACCCGTCATCGGTTTTGACATGGGAGGAACAAGTACTGATGTCAGTCGATACGGAGGCCGATACGAGCACGTCTTCGAAACCACCACTGCAGGTGTCACTATTCAGTCACCACAGCTCGACATCAACACTGTCGCTGCTGGAGGTGGTTCTCGTCTCTTCTACCGCAATGGCCTCTTTGTTGTTGGCCCTGAGTCTGCCGGTGCTCACCCAGGCCCCGCTTGCTACAGAAAGGGAGGCCCCTTGACTGTTACTGATGCCAACCTCTTCTTGGGTAGACTTCTGCCCGAGTTCTTCCCCAAAATCTTCGGAAAGAATGAGGATGAAGGGCTGGATGAGAAGGCTAGCGCTAAGCTCTTCGAGGAACTAGCTGACAAGGTTAACGCTGAGATGGCTGAGAGTGGAAAGAAAGGCAAGATGACCGCTGATGAAGTCGCTTATGGATTCATCAAGGTTGCAAACGAGGCTATGACCAGACCTATTCGCTCCCTTACTGAAGCCAAGGGCCACGATACCTCGAAACATCGTCTGGCTACCTTCGGTGGTGCCGGTGGTCAGCACGCCGTTGCAATTGCTGAAAACCTGGGTATCAAGCAGATCTTGGTCCACCGTTACTCCTCCGTCTTGTCTGCCTACGGAATGGCTCTTGCCGATGTAGTTGACGAAAGCCAGGTCCCAGAGTCCATGTCCTGGTCTGAGAGCTCGGAGGTCAAGGCCAGCATTGAGAAGAGAATGCAGGAATTGAGAAAGGGGGCAGTCGCGAGACTCAATGATCAGGGCTTCAAGGAGGAATCTATTGTTTTCGAGGAATATCTCAACATGAGATACCGCGGAACCGAGTCTGCTCTTATGATCATTAAACCCCAAGAGGGCGCGGCGTTTGGCAAGTCCTTCATTGAGCAGCACGAAAAAGAGTTCGGTTTCACCCTTCCTGACCGTGATATCATCATTGATGATATTCGTCTCCGAGCTATCGGAAAGAGCTTTGATAGTTTCCCTAAGACCGTCGACGAGCAACTTCGTGACGCAAAGCCAGTTCCAGTATCCAAGAGCAAGGCACATGCCACTCAGAAGGTATACTTCGAAGGCGGCCGTGTCGATACTCCTATCTACAAGATTGGATCCCTGGAAACAAATGACCGTATCGACGGACCAGCTATTCTCGGAGACGGAACTCAGACTATTCTGGTCACCCCAACTTCTTCTGCTCTCATCATTGATACCCACGTGGTTATCGACGTTGACGTTAATAAGAAGGAGAGTGCAAAGGCATCGGCTGATGAGGTCGATCCAATTCTGCTGAGTATCTTTGGCCATCGGTTCATGGCAATTGCTGAGCAGATGGGCCGTGCCCTGCAGAAGACTAGTGTCAGCACTAACGTCAAGGAAAGACTGGATTACTCCTGTGCTCTGTTCGACAGTGATGGCGGCCTTGTTGCCAATGCTCCTCATTTGCCTGTCCATCTGGGTAGCATGTCCACCTGTGTTCGTACTCAAGCTGGAATCTGGAAGGGGAAGCTCAGGCCAGGTGATGTGATAGTGACCAACCACCCTGAGTTTGGAGGCACCCATCTGCCTGATATCACCGTGATTACCCCAGCCTTCTCTGGCAACGAGATCGTTTTCTATGTCGCTTCCAGAGCTCATCATGGTATGTATACGGCCATTACAATCATTAATACTTCGCTGAGTACTGACAACTATTGTAGCGGATATCGGAGGAATCCTGCCAGGGTCCATGCCTCCACACTCGAAAGAACTGTACCAGGAGGGTGCCGCTATAAAATCGGAGAAGCTTGTCTCCGAAGGAAAGTTCAACGAGGAGCGTTTGGTAGAGTTGCTCTACCGTGAACCCGCCAAATACCCCGGCTGCAGTGGAACTAGATGTCTTGCAGACAACCTCAATGATCTGAAGGCACAGGTCGCCGCAAACCAGAAGGGTATCAGCCTCATCTCTACCCTCATTGAGGAGTATGGCGGATCTACCGTCCAGCTCTATATGAGGAGTATCCAGAAGAACGCAGAACTCAGCGTACGCAACTTACTGAAGCAAGTTAGCGAGAGATTCAAGGGTGCGGACCTGACTGCAATTGAGCATATGGATGATGGCAGCCCTATCCACCTCAAGATCTCCATCGATGCTGAGAAGGGAGAGGCTATTTTTGACTTCGAAGGCACCGGCCCAGAAGTTTATGGTGAGTTATATGCGGGTTATCAAAGGTCAAAGATGCAATCGCGTTGCTAATGATGATATAGCCAACACCAATGCCCCTGAAGCCGTCACTTACTCCGCTATCATTTACTGCCTGAGATGTCTCATTTCGGAGGATATCCCACTCAACCAAGGCTGCCTGAAGCCTATTAACGTCAAAATCCCCAAGGGCTCCTTCCTCTCCCCGTCTAGCAAAGCTGCAGTTGTGGGTGGAAACGTCATGACAGTAAGTCTTGACTTTCATATGTACTGCAAATCGCCCGTATCAGACCAAGCTAACCACGTTACAGAGTCAACGTGTCACCGACGTCATCCTGAAGTGTTTCCAGGCCTGTGCTGCCTCTCAGGGTGATACTAACAACCTGACCTTCGGATTCGGAGGTAATCTTTCAGGCGAGGAGGAAACCAAGGGCTTCGGATACTACGAGACCATTGCAGGTGGTAGCGGAGCCGGCCCTGACTGGGAGGGAACCTCTGGAGTCCACACCCACATGACAAACACCCGCATCACTGACGCAGAAGTGTTTGAAAGAAGATACCCCGTTCTTCTCAGAGAATTCAGCCTGCGCGCCGGATCTGGAGGAGCCGGCCAGAACCGCGGTGGTGATGGTGTTATTAGAGATATCGAATTCCGCATTCCCGTCCAGGTATCCATTCTTTCCGAACGCCGTGTCTACCACCCCTATGGCATGCACGGTGGAGAAGATGCTGCCTGCGGCCAGAACATCTGGGTCCGTAAGATGCCTCAGCCTGAAGGATCTGAGGAGCCTCCAATCATCAAACATGTGAGCTTGGGAGCCAAAAACACTGCAAATATGGAGCCAGGTGACCGTATCATTATCAAGACTCCTGGTGGAGGTGGATATGGAAAGCCCGGAAATGAAAGCGTTGTTCGAAAGGAAGCTGATCCTCAGCTTGCTTGGAAAGGAGGTTCTTTGGCATCTCGCGTTGGAACCCAGGAAACTAGCATGTAAGTTGGGACATGGGTAGGAACCAACAAGGTAGGCTAGGTAACTAGATAACTGCTAGCTTATTTGCCAAAACAAAAAGAGCTCGCCGAGCCACGTAGATTTTGATTATACGAATGTCAGATTATTCCGCATTAGACAATAGGTCTCAGCTGGTATCAGACTTCCAATAACTTCTAAAACCTTGCGTGTCTTCAATAGAAATTACCAATCTTTTAAATCAAAATGGATACCTCCAAATTCCATCCCACATACCAGACGCCAGCCGGTAACACGTAAATTCATGCACCGGGTTCCAACTAGAGCAAAGAAGTTCCGCCAGGACAAAGCCATGTATTTGTTTTTGAATTATTTATTCGTCATCATCCTCGTCGCTAGTAGCCTCGAAATTTTTCGTGGAGGATGGTTTCTTAGCCTTGGAATTGGATTTCGACTTTTCCTCATCCACACCTGACATTTCTTCGTCCTCTTCGCCAGCAGTGGCAATAGACCCAGAAAAATCCGGACGAGTAACCTTGCCCCCTTTCTCTTCGATAACGGCTGAGATTTCAGGAAGTAATGTGACGAGGTTGTTGAACTGTTCTAGTGTCATTGATATGCCCTGGTAGGGAACGCGGGGGATTAGCATGGTTTCCTTGCAATGAGGGTGGCTCAATGGATAGTATTACCTTCTTTCCAGGCAGTTCCTGACCATCTTTCTCGTAATACTCGCGCACATTCACTAGCACGCGTCCTTTGAAGGTAGATATAGTGACACGCCGCTGACGCGAGATCTCCCAGTATGGATCACCGTTGGAATCCGTCTTGGGAGCCTTATCTAAAGTCGAGGATATCTGAGCATTTAGACCGAATTTGCCTGCATCACCGGCTGTTTTGGCTCTCTTGCAACGGTCTTCGGAAACAGCTGGCTCGACGCCTTCAGATGAAGCTCGTTTGCCGCGCTTGAGACCCATGGTTTAAGAGCGCGTTTGAAGATGTTTCAAAACGATAAGAGTAGTAACAAAACTATTGAGGGTACAAATCTCAACGTCTTCTATTTAAGCAAAAATTGGGCTTAATATCCCAAGAAGCTAGAGTCAGCAGGGAGCAAATCGCAATGCCCTTGGAAGTGTTTGATATATACATCAAAAGAAACACCAATAAAAGGGAAACGACGTCAAAAGAAGAGGGGATTATGTAAACATTGCCAAGCCATGAACACCTCGATATAATGCGAGTTACATAATCTAACCAGGGGGCAAACATCAAATATTTCGTTATGGCATAAAAGTCAGGTATAAAAAGAGGGAAGGGGAAACGACGGGATTAGGGTGGTATTAAAAAAAAAAAAAAGAAAACCAAGAAAATCAGGCCATGACATATTCGCTGCCTCGTTTGATGAACTTATCGATCATGAGGCCGATATCATTCAGGGCAAACCGGCAGGCATAGAATCCAAAGAATTCAGACGCATGCCGAGTGCTGAGCTCGAGACCAACTAGAGTCTGGGATGAATGTCTTAGGCCTGGATCTTCAACTTGGCGGGCTATTTGATCTATTTGAATAAAAGTTAGTATTTAAGCGGCTGATTTATAGCAGGTAGATGGGTGGTGGTGGAAAGTTAACATACCTATAACTTGCGCTGCGTCGAAAAGTCTGGCTAGAGCGCTCATATAGTTTGCATTGGGCCCAGTGCAGTTGAGTCCAATGACGCCTCGCCGTGGAGTAGCTGTAGCGACCGTGTCAGTCATCGGCAGTGATGTCATGGTCAAGTTTTCCCTTCCATTATCTCTTGATATGCTGCTTGAGTTTGTGTTGGATATACCGGAGCTCTTTGATCGGAGTTTTCGCCATGAGGAAAGATAGGATTTGCTTCCACTGCTGGAAGGTTTGGAGGATGAGTCTACCGCTGGAGAGGTATCATCTGACGATAGCTTGAAAAGCGCCATGGCACCTTGTACGCCGACTTCATTGCCGAGTTTCCTAGACCATACGGCCTGCACCTGATCCAGGATGTTTTCAAATGCCTGCATTTCCTCTAGGACGGCATCAGCATCGTTGGTATCGACCTTTGCTAGTTTGAGTAGCGCTGCGGTGAGCAGATCACAGTTTGAGATTTTCTCCTCTAGCCCCTTGATTCGCACGTTTTTCACTTTCCATATGTCTCTGGGTATGAATAGTTTAGTGGTCAGATACCCACCACGAGGATGGGTGATCGTTTCGTATAGACATCTCATTAACCAGAATGGACGGAGGAGGAAGGATTGGGGGCAAGGCTCGAGAGGGATGGGCGCATCTGGGGCGTTGGGGTTAGGCGATCCCGGTGTAAGCGGAGAATGGATGTTATTGTCGAATAGGTGCCTAGACGGGCCGGCTGAACTGAGCGGTGGCACAGCAGGCAAAGAAAAGGTCTTGCCTAGCTCTGGGATGAAAGAGGTGGTGAAGGGACTGCTAGGGGGCTGCGAGGATTTGCCTAGAGCAGGAGCCGAGTACGTAGGTTCTCTCGATATTCCTGGTGCAGAGTGTAGCCTGCTCAAAGTTAACGGTGGAGACGTCAATAATGTATCAAAATCGACCGACTCGTGTGCATTAAGAGTAGGAAAAGCCGAGATCGCAGGAGAATCTGGTCCGGGGGACTCTGGAGAGCCAATTGCTGTGTGTGGGCGTTGCTGTATTGATTCAAGATTGAAATCGCTCGACGATTTTCCATGGCTTGTCTTTGAGGGTAGCGGGGTGATGGGATGTGCTAGGAGCATTGAGGGAGGCAGTGGCACTTGACGGGCCCCGTCTGCGCTTGAGGGTGCATGCGCTGAGCCGGTCTCTACTATTAGTTCCTTTGGACGGCCCGACAGCCTTCGCGACCGGACTGTCGACGCCATCATGATATCTGCAGTGTCTGGAGAGCTTGTCGTTGCCTTAGCCGAGGGTGAAGGCGGTGTTGGTGTAGCGCGAGTGGGAGCTGGTGGTGGTGGTGGTAGTTGATGCTGCTGGTGCTGTTGGACCGGTGGATGAGGCGGTGGAGGCGGTGGAGGCGGAGGCGCACCCACGGGCGGAGGGAGCTTTTGAAACGGCTGAGAATAAGAAAGAACATTTTTGGCCATTCCACCGGGAGGAATTGAGAAATCATCTTCTTCCGTGAGGGTGGAAAGTAAGGTGCCCGTGTTGGTCCGGCTTGATGCAACGGAGCTACCCCAGGTTCTGCTCGAGTAGCCGCTGGAGCCTGATTGCCGTGGAAGCGCTGACTTGGACGAGAGATCGAACTCGAAATCGTCCATCATCTCCTCCAGGATCCGCTCCTCTTCCTCGGCCTCATGGTCTGAGTAACCTTTCCGGTCGAGGTCAGAACCAGAACCCACGTCCATGTCCTCAGGCGATATTTCGGGTCTTCTCCGATCTCGCTCCCTGACGGAGACGCTGGCGGCTTCAGCCTCTAGCTCAGCCTCTCGTACCTTTTGTTTAGCCAATTCGATATTCCGACGGACGTGCGACATGATATCATCATGAGGTTCATCTTCTCGTGGGACGACTTCGAGTCCATCATCGTAAGCGGCCTCGACAGCCTCGTCCAGGGCAGCATCGAACTCGGCCTCGGTACCTCTGCTGTAGTGAGCGTCCTGCTTCCGTCGTAGATAGAGAGAAGAGTTTGCCGAGCGTATAGACGAGCCTGATGAAGCACCGGACTCATCTATGGTGTCTAGCCAGGACGTCGATTCGGTGCCTCTTTCCTGGAGACTCTGCAGATCCCCATTCGCAATGTTTGAGAGACCGAGGCCGTCTGTTCTGGGGTAGCTGCCCGAGGGATAATGTTCGTTGTTCATGTTCGTACTGCCTGTATTGTCCGTGTCGTGGGCGCTACCGTCTCCAGACGGGTGCAGGGACTGTTGTCGAGGCGGAATGTAGCGTTCATTCTGCGATTCAGTGGCGGGAGATTTGGCGAGTATCTGGGTGGCAGTGGCGGTGCCAATGAAATAGATATCCTGATCGTCTGCATCGCCGTCTGTGATATGGGTTGAGAGGATGCTCTGGGATAGCGATTCACCGCTCGGCGGTCTCTCCGGCAGGGCCTTTCCGCCAGCCTGCAGCGCCAGACCCAGGCGCCGGAGTTCGTTTATTCTCGTAGTATACGTATTCCTCTGCATGGACCAGTTAGCAAGTAGACTCTCGATAAGCCGTATAAAATGTATTGTAATATGTGGAATGGAAGGGGGACTCACGATATCGTCTAGTTTGTGTTTCTCCTCGTCGGCACCAGCCCGCTGCATGACCTGCGCGAGGAGACCGCAGGCGTCGGTGTAAGCATCGATAGCGCCTTCATAGTTGGTGGCATTGTCGAGCAGGACGGCGGTATTGGCCTTCTGCAGCGCTCTGGACAACATTGTCTTCTGCGTGGCTGCCCGGATGCTGCTGCTGGTGCCGTCACGAGCGGCGGGCGGTGGTGGTCGAAGGTCGTAAGTCCCATCCATCGATCCTCTACTAGGGCTGTAGCAACGTCGCTGCTGACCGACAAGCCATTCATCGGGGGTCTAGAGCAGGCACTATGGACATGGTCGACCTGCGTGCGAAACGGGGGAGCGGCAAGCTGGCTAACCGCCGTTGAACAGGGCTGCGTTTCGACTGCTGCTGGTGCTGCTGTTGCTGGGCGGATATGCGAGTCGTCGAAGCTGTCGAAGCCGTTAAACAGGACACAGAAGAAGTCGTAGAAGTCGTAGAAGGCGAGCAAGAATCGAGAAGAGCGACCAAGAGGGACCGCAAGGGGGGGA